TACACGCTTATGGTAAAGTTAATGGTTTTGGGGATATTTTAAGGTTGAAAACTTTGTGTTTCCATACGTCATAACATTGTGGACAAACTTTTGCAGGTGGCCATCAAACCCATTGAGTTTTATCGATGGTGTCGCTGATACACACTATTGGTGTTGACATCCAGTTATTACTGTCTATATGTATATTTACACACAGGCAGAGGAGGACGAGAGGCGAAGAAGGATGGCTCTGGAAGACGAGGAGTTGGAGAGAGTTCTTCGTCTCTCTGTGGAGGACAAGTAACTCCTCAACGGTCCATCTCCAGAAACAGTCCTTGTGTACACTGTTTGTTTACCATCAGTGTTTGTTTATTTGTTTACCATCAGTGTTTTTGTTTATTTGTTTACCATCAGTGTTTGTATGTATTGTTTGTTTGCTGTGATTACGTGTGGTCTGTTTGTGTATAATCATAGAAATCTGCAAACTACATGTGTTATTCCGGTTCTGCATCATTTTATGGTGTTTGTGTGTGTTAATTAATTAGTACAAATATCTACTGTTTGTCTCATAATAATTATCGTTTCAAATATTAAGTGACATCAGAGTTTGGAATTATTCAATCAATGATGCGTGATGATATAATCATAGAATAATAATTTGTACATTTTACACGTAGGAAAACACTTGAGATGCTGTGCGCATAGGAAGTGACGACGAAATATAACTTTGAGAACACCAAATTAATAAACTCACAGCGACAACAGAAAACAAAGTGACAGAGTCACACACAAACAGAGAACTATCGACGAATCGGATCAGAACAAATGTGAGGTGGTGGGTGTGGCACCACAGCATGAGAGATATTCACGTGTGTTGTGAGGTGCAGTGTGCAGGTGTCGATTCTGAATAAATATAGGATGATAATAGAGGAGAGGGAGAGTGGAATGTTCTAGAAGGAAAGAGAAGGCAGAATGTTCTAGAAGGAAAGAGAGAGGATGTTAGAAAGCAGAATGTTCTAGAAGGAAAGAGAGAGAGAGGAAGTAAAGAGAAGGCAGAATGTTCTAGAAGAGGCTGGGCCAGGCAGCGGTGGATCCGTCGCGCCATTTTGGACTGCTGGCTATGGTGGCTCTGCACAGAGGACAGGTGCTCTGTCGGTCGAACCACTGCAACACACAGTCCTCACAGAATATGTGCTGAGGAGAAAGAACGGCGAAAGAGAATGAAGCTTGTGGCAATGATACTTTGATGACACTTGTTTTAAGCGGCGTGCCATTGTGTTGTATGTAGTAGCACTTTCTGTAGTGGAGTTTCACATGTTTCTAGTTTTTACAACTGTAAAACTGTACATACGTATATGATAGTGGGGTGGGGGCTTACTCTGCATTTGAGCATGACAGGCTGTTCGAAGGCCTCCTGACATATTGGGCACGAGTTACTGCTCTGCATCATCTCGTCTTTAGTGGGTGTGGTCCCATATGTCTGCACCACAGACAGAAAGATAGTACATACATGATAATATGGTGGCTGCATATTGCATATATCACACATATACAAAACCACATTGAATCTATTCTTGAAGGTAAAGTTTACTATAAAGAGAGCTTTCACTATCAACCGGAGTGTAATTGTGTGTGCAGGTGCGCTACGGTTACTTTATAAACGGTAGCACGCATGGAGATGAAACATGGTTCGCACGTGCATTACTAACTTACCGGGTCCTGAATGAAGTCAATGATGGCTCTGTAAAGCTCTCTGGCCCTGGCTAGAGTGACTCCACCCTTTATCATGAGGTAGGTGGCGGTGATGATGATGGCAAAGATGGCGCCCGTGTGGTGGGAGTTGGAGAGATAGCGGAACCACAGTGGCAGCGGGAGGAGATTGCGGTAGAACTGAGATATGAACTCCAGTAACATGTAGTACTTTCCCTGGGAGAGGGGGGAGGGTGAGAGAGGGAAGGGAGAGGAGAGGGGGAGAGTGAGAGAGGGAAGGGACCTAGACAGTGTCACTACTGAAAGGAATTCAGTTGGTGTTCTCAGGCACCCACATACAGGTGTTCACATAATAGATCACAGGTACCTAAAATAATAGATCACGGGTGTACCTAAATATAGATCACCGGTATATACCTAAATATAGACCAAGCCATAGAAGTGGGCCATAGAACATGCAAAACATTTCACCACAAAGCAGGTAAAAAAACAAGTAAAACTGGTCATACTGGTGTGTGAAATGGAAGACTCACTTTCTTTCTACTGGGCAGTATGATGAGGAAACAGCCCGCCACCAGGGCTTTCAGCGCCATCGTCCCAAACCTGATGATGTAATCTAAACGACAAACGACGTAATCGTAAATGTAAACAGTGTTAGAAACACACCCATCCCCTCCCACTTGTCCATGAATAGACTAAACATTCCAGGCATGCCTGTCAAGCAAGCCAGCCGATTATTCATAGGGCACACCACAGGCAGGCACAGAGTCTTGGAATGTTTGTCACGAGAGGAAGACTTACACACGCCCAAAACACGATTGAATACCACAGACATGAATACCCTGTCTATGTACACATGGAGATCAAATGAGTGTATCGTATGATGAGAGGGTGAAATATGAGGTGGATAATGTGTCGGGGATCACCTGTGACACATATAGACCACAGTAGGTTCCAGAGATCGATTCCGAAATTGGGGCTCTTGAATATCAGACTGCAGGGGGGGACAGGAGAGTGGGAGGATCGGATCGTTAGAACTGTGCAGCAGAGTTATACATGCAGAGAGTAGCAAATGTTGGTGTTTCCGAATGTGTGCATATAAACCTCAGACGCAGTTGGAAAACACAAATTTTAATTCCTACTTTCAGTGTTCACGTGCGTGTGTGTGAGTGTGAGTGTAAAGGTATTTGTTTTACTATAAGAAGAAGGGAATGTGGTATATAGAAAATGTGAGGAAATAGGGAGATGAGAGAGAAGAATGTGGAAGAGAGAGAGAGAGAGAGAAAGAGAGAAATAGGGAGATGAGAGAGAAGAATGTGGAAGAGAGAGAGAGAGAGAGAAAGAGAGAAAGAGAGAGAGAGAGAAAGAGAGAGACTCACCAATTATGGAGCTGCTGCTCACGGAACACGTAGTACACGAAGTAGATGTTTCCCGCCAGAAACAGCACAACAAGAGTTAAGACGGTCTTTTCTCTCCTATTCTGTACGATTGAGATCCAGGCAAAGCCGGGGAGAGGCGGCACATTGGGAGAAAGAGGAGAGAGAGAAGGGAGAGGTGGCACATTGAGAGAAAGAGGAGAGAGAAGGCACATTGGGAGAAAGAGGAGAGAGAAGGGAGGGGAGAGGGAGAGTCATGTGAACACTGGCAGGGATTCTGTATGCAAGATTCTGGCCCTATTTGCCTATCTTCATGAAAGGCGGTGAGAAATACACAACACAACACACCACTTGTGTGCAGTGAAACCCCCGAAACGTGCATACCCTTCGAATGAAGGACCCCTCTCTATAAAGGGGGCTTGTTTGTGCCCCCATACTAACACAATAGTGTATTTATTACTTCCGAATATTAACAGAATGAAGAGGACACTTTACTGTCCCCCCCCCAGGTGTCCTTATTCGTAGGTTTCACTGATTGTACACATCAGTGTATATATACCTTTAGTGATACTTGGTTTCTAATGGTTTGGTTGCAGTGGAGGTAGGTACCCAACATGCCCAGAATCACCATCAGCCCTGTAGTGGAGAGGGAGAGAAGGGGGAGAGGGGGGAGAAGGGGGAGAAAGGAATGGAGAGAAGGTAGGAAAGATGAGGAAAGGGTAGACAAGAGGAGAGGAGAGGAGAGGAATAAAGGAAACAGGGTCAGGATGGGGTAAATTAACACAGGAAGTTGGTCCACAGCAGTCAACAGGTGATTCATGATGCCTACATTACTACCAAGCACAGTGAGAGAGACAAAGACAAGAAAGAAGGGCAGTGAGGGAGAGGAGACTAGCTAATATAGGGAGGCGAAGGGAACAAGCCAACATGTATATACTCTGGAGCAAGTGTTATGTGTATCAGTTTGGCTGACGCTCATGTCTGAACAAGGTCCGGGCACCATAAGAAGTAAACCAACCAACAACATGCCTACACTGACCTATATACAGCCAGATATTGAGCAAAACAAACCACCACTCTCAACCTCCACATTATGACGTACGTACATAGAGCGACGGATTTTAACCCACCACCTAGTTTTCTACGCTGGTGTCTCGTTAATTTTTGTACGTGTTGCGCAATGCATAATGTGTGTGTAAGTACATATCTGTATGTGTACGGGGGTGTGTATAGCAACAACCAAATCCAGAGTTTGGATTAGTATCAAAGAGAGAGACGAGAATGCAGAATAATTGTTCCCTTATGAGAGTCATATGGTTTCATGACACACCCTCGCATATTACATATACAATGTTACTTTGCAAGGAATGCATGGGGTGATGTATATACAAGAAATGCACATTAGTAAGACCTCAAATAACTGCTGTGTCAGAAAAAAGGGAAAGGAAGAGAGAGAGAGAGGGGAGAGAGGGAGATAGAGGGAGGGAGAGAGAGGGAGAGATAGGAGGAAGGGGTCTCAATAGAACAAAGCCTTTGATGCCTAACTGCATATGAATCACTTCTGCCTTTTCTAAGAAAATGGATGAGCCTGCAGCCCTCCAATATCACCATAAACAGACGAAACATCTGAGTACATTCTAGCAGTACGCAATTCCACAACAACACACAGTCTCAAGACTTTCATCATTGCTGTAAAACACACTCTACTGCCTTGTGTGGGTATAACGCTGCCAGGTTACATACATACGTCCGAAAACACAAAATTTCGATGCAAAAATTTTCTTGGGCCATTATTTTTGGGGACTTTGCAGAAACAGGGTAACAACGTATGGTTGAACCCACAACTGGAGTTTTTTCTTCCCAAATGCAGATTTATCTGTGAAACCTTTGAATAGTATCATGGATGACGATAATGAGGAATATTTGGTTCTTGAGGGAAAATTTAGCAGTATATACTGACATGTGTATGATTTTCATACCCCTCAGTGGCTCCATGAAAAGTATATTTATGGCATACTAGCCACAGAGAATAGAAAAGAAAGAAAACCAGAAGTCACCCTCCACCCCCCATCCTCCACCCAAGTATATACATACACAGACACAAACAACACAGTTGCACACAACAAGGTAGGACACCAGGTGCCCCAGCCTTGAGAACTGGGGCGGTGGGCAAAAAGGCCATAAAAGAGCCAAATGGAGTTCATTATAGTAACATCATCATCATTACCTGAGCGATGGTACCACGCAAACTTGAGGAGCAAGAGGATGATGAAAATGGCGTTGTGTTCTAACCACCGCACGCCGTCGCTGATCTCGAACCCAATGTTCTGTTGTTGTTCTTCGTTTCCTCCACCCCCTGCCGTCCCTCTCTCCCCTCCCCTCTCCCCCTCTCCCACCCTCCCTCCTCCCCCACCCACACCGCCACCAGTTCTATGAGGAAGGGTCGATATCGGAGATCCGGGATCTCCAAATCTGATGCCACTGGACAAAAGAGGGAGGGAGGCTTGGGACGCCGCACGACTGATCAAAAGTGGAGACTCCGCCGAACTGGACTCCGTCTCTGACCCTCCAAATGAAGGGACAATCTCTCTAATTACAGATGTGATTGGTGTGAGTGCCGCTAGACTCGAGGGGAGCTCCCCAGCACCCGGCCGTTGGCCCCGCGAGTTGAAAGACCACGACTGGCTCCGCGAGTGGCTCCGTGGGTTCCCTCCGGCAGGATATTCGGCCCCCGGGGGCACCCCCTCCACTACCCCTGCGTCCAGGTCGATGCCTACTTCTTGCCCTCGCCCGTTCATCATCCTCGCCCTCCCTGACTTCATAGCAGTCTTAGACAAACTGCAAACAGTGGAAGAGAAACAAGGGCTCACATGGTGACCCCCTGGACGGACAAACCCACACACACACGCGCGCGCAACGACCTGTCCGCATAGCTAGGGGCACACACAAAGAAAAGAGAGGAAGATTTTGTTTTCACGGACGCTACTAGCTCAACAGTGGTTTTATGAACTGTGCGCAGTTGGTGAGTGCAGAAAGGCACCCTACATACTAAAAAAAACCAAGAGACCGCGCCAACTCACCGCGCACCAGTAGCCACACATATGTACGTACGTTCAAACCAGGCCTTTTCCACCGACCACGTCCCTCCCAGCACGCTGTACTAGAGCCACTCACTCTCAAACAGTCAGTAGACTATGATGCACACAGCGCATTCCCTCGTCTTCCTTCTCTCGAACTTCTTTCTCGTGACAAAGCATGTCTTCACGGACCTCACGCTCGCTATGGTAGTGCTGACGTTGAGGGTCCAGGCCACACCCACTGCCGAGTTCCGCCCCTAGTTATTTCCGTATACTTCCGGATACGGGGAATGTACACGTGGTGTGACCAGCCTAATGCCGTTTCCCAAGCTGCTACTGAGAAGAAGACTGTGGGTTGGTTTCCTATGTACAGCACTATTTTGCGGGGTCTACGTGTACGTTCACTTCGTCAAGGTAAGCTCCCATGCGCGGCGCCTATTTATCCGTGACGTAATGATTTTCACACAAAGCCACCGAAAGATGACGTCACCCCGAGCCCACTCCCCGTGTTCCACTGGCTCCCCGTGGCAAACACCACGACTCTGAATGCCTGTCGTAACTCTCAACAAGGCTACTTCACAGTTGTAGACGAACTAGGTGACACTCCTTCGTCCTCTAATCCATCTTTTGACCCCCTTCCCCTCCCTCTCTTTTCCTTCTCCCCCCAATCCCGCACTCTCTTTCGTCACACTGGCACTGTTGTACTAAGTGTACTGAACACCTAAGTCATTAGGCCGGAGTTTGATGCTTTTTTGCCACTTTCAAACTCTGCCACCCATTCTTTCAGGCTACCTGTGCAGGTGGCCTGACCTCCTGCCCTCAGGCTGCTGTACTGTCCAGAACTCCAGGCGATACGAGTGTGCCTCGTGCCTCACCAGTGGCTGCTGTGTCCACTACGAACACTGCGTTTCATGCTGTCTGCATCCCGACAAGGTATATACACCATACTGTTCGTACTATTACTGTTCTTCTGCTCCTCTCTCCTTCTTGTGGTATATATGCACCTCAGCAACCTCTGCTGCGCAGCATCTTGAGTCGCTCGACGGAGACGTTTAACCCTCTCTACTCCTCCCTCCGAGACCAGTTCGAGCTCTGCCTCTCCAAGTGCCGGACCTCCTCCCTTGTTAGACATACATACATACCCACTGTACTGTTTCCTAAGCCAGCTGGGGTGAACCAATTCTTGCTTGTTTTTCAGAGCGTCAAACACGAAAACACTTATCGCAATCCCAAAACAAAGTACTGCTATGGAGCAGATTCCACTACCATCCTCCCCGACATGAGGTTTTCAATCCCCCTTCTCCCTCCCTTTCCTCCCTCCACCTGTCCGTGTCTGTCTGTCTCTCTTGTCTTGGTGTACCTACCTTAACCCCTGAAACTTCCATTAGTGTGTTTCTCCCATGCACAGACCAGAGAATGATGCAGTGTAAGTCGGAATCACAGTGTGTGCAGCTTCAAGGGCAGAAGATGCACAGTTCCCAGCACAGCTAGACCACCACCTCTGTTTCTGGCCCCCACTCACCTGGCTGGGCAAGCAGCCCTGCACTACAGCTCTGCCACAGACTAATTCTTGTAGTAGGTAGTAGTACAAACAGACCAGCAGACAAATTGGGTGGTGTGTGTTGATCTCTCCATCTGTCCATTACTTTGAAAAATCACCTGACCAGATCCCCAGGTGACATATATACCTAGCATGTGCCCATGAATGTATTGTCAGGAGCTCAGTAGTGTATATATATCTAGCTATAGCTATATAGCAGCAGCTGCATGCAGCTGGATGCTCATGCACAGAGTGCATGGTGGTGTGAGTAGATTTATGACTGTCACAAGACCTGCAACGATTAATATTTCCACCCTTCTGACAACTATAGGCAAGAAACACCATTTTACTAACATAACATCACAAACTAATAATATACGTAGACAGTCTACAATAGTCGGCAGTCATGTATTACGTTCAGCTTCAGTGTGTTTCTTTCCTTTACTGGCATTCGGGAGGGACCTTAAAATCATTGGCTGGGGGCGTTGTTGCCATAAATTTTAGAAAATGATATATCCTCCTTTGTTCTCCAAGTTGTATTTCGAACCATTGCGGTGTGTTTAACTGGTCAGGTAGCACTGCGAGTCCGAGCTCTATGCCTGCGCCACACTGCAGGCAAAGTCGCACACGGCTGTATAACACTGCATGCTAAGAGATGGCCCCCACTTACCGTACCAACCCACTCATCGTACGTCACTTCTTGGATCTTAATTGTGCCTTTATACTTTGCGTTAGCAACCCACCCCCAGAACTGTGGCAGAATTTCTACGCATGGCTGGTGCTCACACTGTACCTCCTTACCATCACTGTACACACAAAGTATGATCGAAGGAAATAAACATTACGAGCATAGTTAGTTACGTACTCTCGAAGTGTGTAGATCGCGTCGGTAGACTTGCCGACGCAGATTTCCAGCCTTTCAAAGCGCTCTGTGGTAGATGTATTCTGCACTTTGTACGTTGTATTCTCTACGGCCATCGCAAGATCCTGGTCTCTGTCCACGAGAACTAAAAACCGCCCACGATATAGAGGGGATAGGAAATCAGAATATAAAGACGCACAGACGAAGTCTTACACATTCCGAAGTGAGTTCCCCGAGCATCGTGATACTCGTAATTGCCCTGCAGAAGGAGAATTATGCCAGCAGGCTATGAGCAGCAGCAGCAGCTATCACATGACTCACAGAGGCTTCGAAGGTCTCTGCGATATTAGGCCTGGTCTGCGCGAAGCAGGCCGCGGCAAGACCCAGTACTATCGCAAGTCTCAGCATCGTCCGGTGCAGTTTGACGAAGACGGGGAGGTTGTTCAACGAGCAAGAAAAACCAAACCAGAGACGGAAAATTCAGCCTGCTGCCCGATCTGCAAGAAAACACGTGTGGGCGGACAAGGTCACGAGGACGGATATCATCAGGCGCATGCGCTGCTCTCTAGCGCTCAGGGACAATGCTAGGTGGACAGTGTGTCCGCAATACTAGAAGATGATCCTGATACACCTCCAAGGATCCTAATACACAGCTGTGTAATATTAAACCGCAGCAAGAGCGCACCATGTATAGAAGTCATAAAGTTAACGGTATATACATGTAAGCCATAGTGTTACTGTTGGATCCTGCAGTTAATTAATTAAACTGAGTTTCCGACTGGAATTCATACTCCTCGTCAGCTGTCACTGCAGCTGGATTTCCGTACACCTCATTGAGGTCGTACTGAAAGGTAATTGCAGGGGTCTCCTCCGTTTTCATTATCGTTCCTTTGCCGTCTTTCTCCTCTTCACACTCCTCTTCCTTCGACTTTCCGGTTGGGAGAGGTCCCAGCCCCAGACGACTAGCACACGATTTCCTCACTTTCTCGCTTGCGATACAGAAGAAGAGAAACAGCAATGGACCGATGCACCCACTGGCCACAGAGAATACTATCTGTGAGTAGAATCTTAGACTGTGGACGTGAATGGGGTGTGTGGAGGGGAGACCAAAGCCCCAGCTGACGTCAAACAGGAAGAGGGTGAGAGTGGTTCCTGTGTACTCCCTGACCCAGGACTGCTGGACGTGTTCGGCGCGGAGGGCGAGAGAGAAGTAGGGGCAGGGAACGAGGAGGAAGCAGAGATATAGAGGGAGATGGGCAAGTGCCCAGGGTAGAATCAACCCGTAATGAAATGCTCCATCCACTGGCCTGCAACTAGTGGATAATTATATGACAGTGTGAAGTAAGCAGAAAATCAGGGACTGAATGTTACTTACAATTCGCTGCTGGTGTTGTAAGTTTCGCTGAGACTAAGAGTTAAGGCCACTATCAATGCTGGGACAACTGTTAGGTAATACAGAGTGAAAATACAGAGGTTTGAATGAAAACCAGGTACGAAACCACTTACACCATGTTGCTAACACTCCCAAGATGACCATGCGCTTGTTTCTGAGGGCTCTTTGTGCTTCCTTCTTCCCAGCCCCCCTCAGCTTTACCAGGGCCAGCCCAGCTAGAGAGAAGGCAGCAGTCAGAAACATGTAGTGGAGTGTTCCAGACACCCCGTGACAGGTGTGCTCAGAGAGTCCGCCAGAGTAGTAAGCAGCGACAAAGACGAGGTTAAGAAGAAGGAGTGACGCGGCAGTGTTTATCAGAAACACTCCGGTCCCCGTATTCCACCTGTGAACCCATAGAGATTAATACAGTGAGGGTCATCATCCAGAACATTTGGTCCACAGCCAAACCTTGTGAAGATTAGTGTCAAAATTGTGATCAGTAGAAACAGAGCTGAAAACAGACAGCCAGTGTAGACATATGGTCCTATTCCTCTGTCCTCTGGTACTGGTGCCTCATGTGGTACTGTGTCCTTTAAGACAGATTCAATGGTGGAGTTTTGAGTGATAGCTACTTACCACTAGCAGAGAAAAGCTGGTGAGGTGGTCACACTCGCAGAGTGCCACAAGTTCATTGTCACTGACTAGACGGCAACCTTCAGTCGACCATCCACCGTGCCCCTCGTCCAACTCTTCCTCCCAGAAGACACAAACAGACTCAGTACCATTCTCCACCGCCTTCACAAACATTTATAAAAAAACCCTCTCCTCAAATAAAGTTTCTTCCCTTACCTCTAGTGTTTTCTCAAAGGAGAGTGTGACTACTCCACTCAGGTCTGACACAGTAGCTCCACCAGTGAGCCTAGCCTCCAGAATCATCGCACTGCCCACTATGAAACTGGAGCGGTTGTTCTCAGCTGCAAACTCCTCACGCTCGGCAAAGATCCCTCCGTTGTTTGTGTAGGCAGTGTAGACAATTCTAGGGTCCTCCAGACTCCGCAGGATTTGGGCCAGATCACGTGACAGACTGACAGACGAATACACAGCAGGGCTCTCTGTGCCAAAGTCAAGGGTGTCGAGGTTTCTCCCAGATAGCTCCGGAGCTGATCCAGAACCTTCTTCAGCCGTGACGACGGTAAAGCGAGCTGAGCTTCCAGTGAAAGTGTCCAGGTCGAATCCAAAGTCTATGATGACAGTAAAGGATTCCAGAAGAAGCTCGAGTGGTGGGGTTTCAGGCAGAGGATAATGGTCTATCACTTCTCTTAGCCCCTCCAATATCCTAATATATTGACATTGATAAACTCTAATCTGGACACCAATGGGACTTTTAAGAAGGTGTACTTAAAAGTGAGAGGTGATTTAAGGGTCACATTGCCATGAAAGCCGTCTTAAGGCAATAAAGGTATCCTTGCTAGGGACGTGTACTAATTACAGGGATATCCCTTTATAGGGGGTTCCACTCTATTAGACATACAGTGTGGAAGAGTTGAACTCTAGCTGGCTCTGCTGTAGGACTTCAGGAGGTGCTGACAGCAAGTGGTCAATAGCTGCCAATACTTCGTCACTCCTCTATAATTATACACAGACCAATAGAAAAAACAGGTTAGAATTTCAAACTCTGGTGGGTGGAGGGTGGTTACTGTAGCATTTCCGGTCGTGGTGTTGTCTGAGAATAGTCGGATGTTGACTGCACTCAGGAAAACCTCCAGTGTACCCAAATCTTCAGGATGGTCAGTCACTGACGATAGCTCCTCTATCTGAAATTGGAGACAAGACTAAGGATGTTAGCCACATTCTATTAAGAGTGACACCAATTACTAGTATGGTTGGGTCTGTATACAGAAGGACGTGTCAATATTAGTGACTAAGTGTCCGTAATTTAATTGGAGCAAGAGCTGTTCTTGGGGAAAGCCAAAGGTGTTTTTTATAGAGAGGTGTCCTCATTTCAAAGTTGCCTTAGAGAGTGGTTCAGCTGTATGTCTTTAGAAACCTCACATCAGGGACGGAACACAGGATTCTTGTCGCTTCTGTGAAATGACATTGGGAGTCGTCAGGCTCCGCCCATTCGGCCACACCTCCCGCTATATTCCCGGCACATCTCCGAGAGGCGGAGAGCGGAAGAGTAGCAGCGTTGCACGGGCAGCTGATCTCAGCCAGTCCTCCATACGGCAGCTCCGGCCAGGGGAGCTCGAAATCAGTCGAGTTGAACAGAATAGTAGTCACCTCTGGACAACCATCTATAGGACAGAGACTCCAATGTACAACATGTGATATCCTTAGCTAGTTGCAGGGGTTACCCGTTCTTGTGATGTCATAGAGAAATAGTTCAATCCTTAGTTCATCTCCAGCTGTAGTCAGGAGATTAGAGATACCCTCAGCCACTTGTGGGAGCTTCGGGTCCTCTCCATCCACCGACTGGAGAGAGATAAAACTGCTCCACGTCCTGCAGAGAAAATGGTGGAGATGACAGAGGGTGTACTGTAGGCTTCACTCACTCTTCTCCTGTCTGGTTGAAAGAGTCCATGCAAAGAACATTGACCTTCCTGCCACTACCACCAATATCAGTGTCAGTCCCCTCAATATTCACATCAAACTATGAGAGAAAGTAAGAACTAAGTAACAAAGAAGAATAAATTGTGGAAGCATATATACCCATTTGTCAACCTCAGAAAGATCAGTTTCCACAGAAATGACTACTACTGCATACTGAGCCAGCCCTGCATCAGGAGAAGACAAGAAAGTTCAGCAACACAGTTTTGAGAGAACTAACCCATGATGTTCAGATATGCCACTTCAGAAGTGACACTCCCTTGCGGGTTTACCGCTGTGCAGTGATAGGCAGCCCTGTCTGACAAATCCACTTCTCCTATCACGAGAGTTTTCGTGGTTGCCCCCATCATTTCGAGCCCGTCTTTGAACCAAGTGATGAGAGGCTGAGGGTTCCCCACTGCGCCACACTCTAAAACTGTCTCGCTGAAGAGCTGGGCGAAAGTTGTCTGCGGAGATTTCACCAGCACCGGTGCTGATAGAACAGGATCATCTTTACAAAGGGAGAAGTGAGGATATCGTAATTTAAAGAAGGGGAAAGAAGGTTTTACTTTGATCACACTGCGGTCCGGTCCAGCCATCCGTACACTGACAGCTGAAAGAGTTTCCTCTGTTCAGACATGTCCCTCCATTCTGGCATAGGGACACTGCTGCCGAGCTGCATATGTCCACTAGTACCGGGGCAGCTGTAACAACCATTATTAATACACTTCCTTTGGAGTCAGTTTGTCTTACTATTGACTGTGACTTGGTGTGGCATTGGAAGGTAGGTAGTGTTGAGTGCGTTAGTTGCTCTACACGAGTAAGCCCCTGAATCAGACTCCACACTATTCTCTATCGTCAGAACACTCTCCACGGACTCGAGAACATGGGGTCTGAACCCTGGCCCCACACGCTGCGTGATCTGGAAACGGGGCAGCTCCTCGATGGTCCGGGACAGTGGACAGCCATCTTTGAGCCACAAGATCTCAGGCAGTGGAACGCCGTCTGCTCTGCACACCAGCGAAACTGTCTCCGTGACAAACCCCTCGTGGTCCGTCTGCTCATTCAACACCTGCGGCTCCACTGAAGAAAATGTGTGCATCATATAAGTTTTGCTATAGAACACACTTCACACTATTCAATTTTGAAAGCTGCTGTTGTGCAATCTCCCTAATGGCCTTACCGGTGACATTGATGAGGAAAGAGTGAGAATTGGTGGTGTTTCCACTGCTCACTCCATTGCTGGCAGTGCAGGAGACGAGACTGGAGACGAGCAGGCCCTGGTGGGCGGGGCAGAGGAGCAGAGAAGAATAGACCATCCCAACTCCACTATCATCATCCACCAGCTGCCTCGTGTACACTGTGCTGTCGGTTGTATTGATTACTTCAGTAGCACTGGTGGAGTCTGGCTCAGTAGATAGGGTCCCTGAAAATCTTGGTAGTAACGACCACGAAATGACAGGGGCTGGATTCCCGTAAGCAATGCAGGCGGCCACGATACTGTTCCCCTTTTCAGCCACTATATCCACATCCACTGCAACAGAAATACCATATATACACACTCCACCAAGAGGTCTATAACAAATGTCTGTGCAATAAAAAATTATTGTACAGTGAGATTCTGTATCTATACCAGGAGTTTGAATGAGAGTCGGAGGCACTCCAATGACGTTCACTAGGAACTGGGCTCTGTCTTGTCTCTCAGGAGTGCTGGCAGTACAACTGTAGTTGCCACTGTCTCCCACCACCGTCCCACATATCAGGAGGTGAGACCTAACAACCAAAGTTGGACCAATTCCAACCGTCTCGTTCCAGATGTGAATCCTGGTGTCGTTGACTGATAGTTTGTTGAGGTCGAGAGAGTCTCTGGACCAACTGATAGGGGGAGCAGGAAGACCATAACTGGTGCAGGAGAAACGAACAGTGCTCCCAGCAAAAAATGCAGAGTCGTTTGGATATATCACAATCTGTGGCAGAACTGTGAAAACACATCAAGTAAAATAGATTAGCTGCAGAAGTTTGTGGGTGAATTTTATGTCTCGCACTCTTTTCCGGTTTTACGGTAACTAATCCTCGCATTATAGGTAGTAGATGATCACATAAATACAGCAAAGACTGATTGTTGTATTTACCCTTGACGGTGATTGAGAACGTCTGCCGGGCTGATGAGTGGTTGTTGGAGGCAGAGCAAGTATACAGCCCAGTGTCAGAGAGTGTGAGAGAGCAGAGGAGTAGTGTTGACTGGAGGAACGTCACGTGACCTCCAGAAATCCGCGTCTGGTTGACGGCAACTGGTTGTCTCAGAGGCTCGCCTTCTCTGGTCCAGTATATGCTAGGAAAAGGTAGTCCATGACTCACGCACGACAGAGCAACTGTGTCTCCGACGTAGACACTGGTGTCGTTTGGGGCCACTGCAATCCCAGTCGGAACTGGGAAAGAATCACGAGAATAAGTCCTATTTCTTGTGTTTCAAGATGGAGCACTCTGTGCTATAAACTGGCATGTGTTATCAACAATGAGGCGAGGGAGCAAGGCAAAGGCAAAACATACTCTTATTAACATGAAGGTAGTAACAGGGGGAAAGATTGGGGTTCTTGAATTTACAAGCCAAGTCTGTGAATTCGACAATGATGTGTATACCGTTGAGGGAGAGGGTGGTAGTGACAGAGGTGGTTCCAGCATAGTTCTCAGCAGAGCAAGTATAGCTCCCAGCAGTGGCCAATGAGAATCCACAGACATGTAGGACGGACTGGACCAGAGAGAGTGCCCCCACCCTAACGACTGATCGGTTCTCCACAGTGTACCCAGAGGCATTGGTAGATATGGAAGGGAGTCCACTGGAGTTCCATACAACTGACGGAGCTGGGGCTCCAAACGCTGTGCAGGCTAGGCTGACAGTACTATGGACTTCTACTGACACATCTTCCGGGTACATCAGTATGGCAGGTGGAATAGCTTCAACAAGAGAGTGTCATAAGCTAAGATGCAAGTTTTATTGCTTGTGGGCTTACTCTGAACTGAGATACTGAAGTTCTTGGTAGCTGGCCCCTGTATAGAGTTATTGGCAGAGCAACTGTAGTTCCCAGTGTCTGTCTCACTCGTGTTGCACAAGAGAAGGGAGCTTCTCACAAACACCATGTTCTCTACCACCACTATTGACTCTGTCAGGTAGAACCCGGAGCCCTCTCCGGCAATGGTTTCTCCATTTCTCTGCCAAGAGGGGGATGGTGCAGGAACACCGTAGCCAACACAGGTCAGCAGTACAGAGTCCCAGCTAGAACTACAGTGTCTTCTGGATACACCACCACCATTGCTGGCTCTGTTTTGCATGGAATCACAAGGAGGAAATATATCCATCACAGTAAGAAAAATACAATATCGGTGAGGGTGGGGTAAGTAGAAGTTTTTTTCTTTTCTTACCGAGAATGCTGAGCTCAATGCTTGCTGTGTTACTTCCAGCACTGTTTGATGCACTGCAACTATAGACTGCATTGTCGGAACGAATGGAGAAGTTAAAGTTGAGCTCAGAGACTACAGTATCACTATCAACCCTCTCTGATACGGTAACTCTAGAGTCAGTCACCACTGGACTTCCGTTTATCGACCACACCACAGTTGGTGGGTGAACCCCTCTAGTCTCACAGTAGAGTGTCACACTCTCTCCTATCACTGCTGACGTGTTTGCAGAATGGGCGATGATCTCAGCCGGTTCTGAAGGTGTTAGTGAAACGAAGAAAATTATCACTACTACCCTATTTGTGTGGTGGCTAAAACACACAGTGTATATACCTAATACTTGAAGGAAGATGGACTGAGTATCATTCCCAAGGCTGTTGTGTCCAGTACAGTAGTAGGTCCCATTGTCAGTTGGCAGGGTGGCAGAGATAGTGAGATTAGAGGTGGCAAAGGTCTCATTCACGGGACTATAAGAGATGTCGATGTGGCCACTGCTGGCTGGAGCTGGAGTTGTCCAGGAGACCAGTGGGAGGTGCCTGCCCTCAGCAGAACAGTTCAGAGCCACAGACTCTCCTACAACTACCTCCTGGCTAGTCTGAGCTACTGTCACCACCGGACCAACTGCAGAAATGAACCAGAGAGAGATAGACAAGTGTATGTAATTGCTGAGGCGGCCTACATAGGACAGTAAGGTTGAGTGTGGAAGAGACTGGAGGTCCCACTCCATTGCTGGCAATACAGGAGGCTGGACCGTGATGAGAGAGAGCCACTGGGGACACCTCGAGAACAGAGGAAGTGGAATTGGCAGAGGAGCTGTTGGTGACAGTGAACGTGGCAGGACCTGTCACCTCCCACGACAGAGTTGGAGCTGGCACTCCGAATGCCGTGCACTGGAGCTCTGCTGTCCTTCCTACCGCCACCTCTGGACCAGCTGTGAACACCAGCTCAACTCACCTCTGGGGGCTCTGCACAATTTTAAAAAACACACAGATACAAAAACACTAAGAGCTTTCCCAGACTTTGGTGTACCTAATACTTGAAGGAAGATGGACTGAGTATCATTTCCAAGACTGTTGTGTCCAGTACAGTAGTAGGTCCCAGTGTCAGTTGGCAGGGTGGCAGAGATAGTGAGGTTAGAGGTGGCAAAGGTCTCATTCACGGGACTATAAGAGATGTCGATGCTGGCCACTGCTGGCTGGAGCTGGAGTTGTCCAGGAGACCAGTGGGAGGTGCCTGCCCTCAGCAGAGCAGCTCAGAGCCACAGACTCTCCTACAACTACCTCCTGACTAGTCTGAGCTACTGTCACCACAGGACCAACTGCAGAAATGAACCAGAGAGAGATAGACCAAGTGTAATGGATGAAGGTGCCTACATAGGACAGTGAGGTTGAGTGTGGAAGAGGCTGGAGGTCCCACTCCATTGCTGGCAGTACAGGAGACTGGACCGTGGTGAGAGAGAGCCACTGGGTACACCTCGAGAACAGAGGAAGTGGAGTTGGCAGAGGAGCTGTTGGTGGTAGTGAACGTGGCAGGACCTGTCACCTCCCACGACAGAGTTGGAGCTGGCACTCCGAATGCCGTGCACTGGAGCTCTGCTGTCCTTCCTACTGCCACCTCTGGACCAGCTGTGAACACCAGCTCTGTCACCTCTGGGGGCTCTGCACAATTTAAACGTGGCTTATAAGCGCACATAGGGCCATGCTAAGGGAGAGCATACCCAATACTAGTAGGTTAAACGTTGCAGAATCGGTGCCAACACTGTTGACTGCCGTACAGTTGTACAATCCAACATCTTCTCGAGCTGCTGCCGTGATAGTCAAACTTGAAACAAAGCCCCCACCCTCGACAGAGCCGGTGATGATGTGACTGGTACTGTTACTCAGCTCCATGTCTCCAGGTCCGTACCAAGAGAAGGAAGGTGTGGGAACACCAGTCGAAGAGCAGAACAGAGAGATGGAGTTTGAGACTACAACTTCACCGTCCCCTGCAGAGCTCACTATAACTGGAGGTGCTGGAGAAATATAGAGAACAAAGCCGCTGTGGACAAGTTGGAAGAGAGCAAACAGTGTATATTATGAGGTTCATTGCTACTGTATGGATGTGTGGTTGAGGTTGCTCACTGAGTAGGCTAAGTTCAATAGAGAGCGTATCACTTCCCACGAGGTTCATAGCAGTGCAACCGTACTCTCCACCATCGCTAGCATCCGAACCAACGACGGTCAAAACTGACAGGACAGATGAGTCACCACCCAGTAGATCTGGACTGGTGATGATGATGATTCCAGAGCTATTAATGAGGACAGGGCCTCCATCCATCCTCCACGTCACAGCTGGTGTTGGAACTCCAGTGGCTCTGCATTCTATCACCACATCTTCCCCAATCCTCTTCGACTCGACCTCTGTCGTGAAGTTCAGACTAGTCACCAGCGGGTGCTCTAACGGTGGGAAAATAAGAAATAAGTTATCTCTTCGGGATATAATTCCTCATCTTTTCCCCATCAAGTTCTACAAAGAAACTGCTACATAATCACACCTCAATCATTGAATATGAAACTGGCTTGCATCGACTCTGTTTCTAACTCTGTGAGGCATATTTTCTATGGTGCACTCGTAAAGTGCTAGTGCAAAATGGCTGAAATGAGTGAATTCTTCTTTACAGTGGGGGTTATTATATAGACTCACTTGTCACAAAGAGATTGAAGGAAGCAGAGCTGTTTCCAACTGGACTGGAGACTCTGCAGCTGTAATTGCCACTGTCCCCCAGTTCCGCTGGGGAGATGAGCAGCACTGACTGGAGCGAGGTAGTGGTGAGAGTTTGTGTGGTGATGGTGAGACGTGGACCATCTGTCTCCAAGATTGTGTTGTCTTTGCTCCAGGTGATGCCCGACAGAGAGCTACCTTCTGCCACACAGGCGAGGGAGACAGTTTGTCCAGACTCTACCTCAGTGTTGGCAGGGAAATTCACCAGCTGAGGTGGACCTGGTCGAACAGAGAAGGAGAAACTGTTGGTATTACACTTCTATCAGCAACTTCTATACTGCAACATCTAGCTCTATTACTTCAGGATGGGAAAACTAATTTACTACTAAAACCTACAAATTGTGTTGCGGTAGTGCATGTGATTTGATTAGGACGAGCTAGCATTCATGCTGAAGGGATAGTTCTTAACGCTAAAAAGCCAATACCAGAAAAATACAAAAGACCATTATGATTACAGTAAACTGTAACTTGCATAAAACTAACTCAGGACTTGAAGCTGTGCTGAGGCAGACCCACTACTGCCAGCCCTGTTGCTTGCCACACAAGCATACAGCCCACTGTCCCCTGTCACTGCACTTTGTACTGTCACCGTCTCAGTCACGTTATAAGTCCCACTGAGTGCTCTGGAGATTAGGTCTGAAGACAGGGTCACCCCGTCCCTGGTCCAATCTAGACTGGGTATGGGGATACCGTAGACACTGCAAGAGAGCACGATGGTGGAGCCAGTCACGACAACTGTTGGGCTGGTGGTCTCAATGTATCCATCCACTGAGATTGTAACGAGTTGAGTGCTGGAACCTCTGTGTGTGTGTGTGTGTGTGTGTGTGTCGTGTGGTTGTGTGTGCAGGTTGGTGAGTAATGCGGAATATTAATGTTGCGAAATCCCAGATTACATTTCGTCGTATCTGGTGAATTTCAAACACTTACAGTCAATTGCTCACAAATTGAGAGTAGGCCCTAGTAATTACATACTCCCAATAAACCCACACACACATCAAGCAAAAACGTATTACTAAACACATTACTGCAAAGAATTTTTTCTTATAACTGAGAGTGGGCCCTGGTAAGTACATACTTACACAAACAAACATACCCAAAACAATGTGTGGAAAATTTGGTTGTCAAACAGAAAGCCTCCTGGCAATTACTTTCAAATTAACCCCATACACATTAGTGCACACATCAGGAGCTTACCTTCCCTCACAGTTATGTTGGTCTCAACAAACACTGCTCCTCCACTCCCTCCACTGTTCCTGACACACCCGTACACCCCGCCATCCTCATGTTCCACGCTGGCTATGGTCAGTGTGGACGTTTCAAAGTCCACAGTGAGAGTGGTAGTGTCACTGTCAATGTTGGTGCTGTTTAAAACGAGTCCGTTCCTCAGGAAGTAGGTGGGGCCGTAGCTAATGGAGGGAGTTGAGACTCTGCATGTGAGGGTGAGGTTTTCCTCCACGCCCAATGCTGAGTCTGCCGGTCCATCGATTGTCAAACTCACTGTGATGAACACAAGGTCAGTTTATTATACCACAGATGCAGGAACTAATATGGCTGTGCTATGCAACTTTAATTCAGGTCTCTCTATGCAAACTCTATAGCTACTTCTATTCGTGTCTATATATGGCCTGTAATAGAATACTTAGTGCCAGTTTCTTCAGGTATTGCAGGCTGCCGAAGAAAGGCCCAAACACAAGGCCACATCGTAGGCAATGAATTAAAATTTACCGGAGCAGTTCGTAATACAACACTTAGGACATAATTATCAGTATTCCAAGCATTGAGGAAAGACCATATATCACAACAACGGTGCACAGCGCAGACAACAGGTGAGCTTACGCACCTGACTCTTGTGCGATTGTAAGGGTAAATTCTCGGGAGAAAGAGTATGTGAAGACGGTGGCATTACAGGCCAGTGAGTGAGTGACTGGTGTCGAAGAACCAGAGAACACAAGTACCGTTGTCACAAACAGCAATCCTTCGACCTCCAGAGAATTGTTGTACACGGAGACCCATTGTTAGAGCTTGGGGCTGCCGAGCTACCAGCAACAGTCCATCCTAGAGAGAACTCTGTCGAAAATTCAGAGCTCACGTATGCCGAACACTTGACCTCCGCGACTCCATTGACGGATAGAGTTCTACCACTTGGTTCCAGTAAGAATACAACATCAGGAGCTGAAATATGCAGATAAACTATCAATACAGAGGAAATAGCTCCATGCAATGGGATTATCAAGTTGCAGAATATCATACCAGGTGGGGGAGTGGCTGATATGGTGTTAGGGTCCACTCGAAACAGATACTTCCCTGGAACCCCAATGTTGCTGGTGGTCTCTATGTTTACAATAGCTTCAGTTCGCGAGCCTTCGATTGTTGTGAATCTTATTCCATCACCGGCGTTGAATCCAGCCTGGGCATGAGCTGATAGATTAGCGGTACCTACTGACCACTGAATGAGGTCATCAGCATAGAGAAATATGACAAAGGAGAGGCTGCTGTCCGTGATCAGCACGCACTGAAAAGTGTTTGTCTGTAAAGAAAAAATATACTAAATGTAGCTATACCCCTTGTGTATAACTTGGACCTACTAGACCAGAAAAGGCGACAACACTGTCAAAGTGTGCCACCTGGTCCCAAGTTGCAATGAGGAGTCGAGTTGGGTTGAAGGCCGTGAAGGTGGGGTACACTTCTCGGACGTCGGCCCTTGCTTGAGAGAGGAGGGCAGGGTCGTCTGTCTGTCTGTAGCGGATTTCTCCTCCTTGTTCCCCGCGGGTGTCCACGTCGCCCCAGAAAGGGGCAAGCATTGGTGAGCCAACGAGTGGAAACGGCTGAGCCACGAACCCGGTCTCTGCTCCATTAAAGGAAACAACGCCATTTGTATTCACCTGCAAATGCAAAAGACTTTAGCTATAATAAAGTTATAGCTGCAGGCGAAAGGACCCTCACGAAGGCAGTAGTCTGCGGGACCCCGAAGAATGGAAAGGCAGTGGAGAGAGTTACTTCATTGATGGCAGAGTCGTCGTCTGGCGGTAGAACGACGTCAGTTTCACTCGAAGACGGATAGAACGACGACAGCGGGACTGCGAACGTGCCGTAAGGCAGCACCGCATAGTAGGAGGGCAGCAGCAGCTGCACGACGAAGAATTCGAGAACTAAACAGTAGTCTCATGGTTCAAGATAGCGCAGGCTTATGCTGAGAGAATAATTATCAGGCTGCTGCAGCCCACATAACATCGTGATTCTTCCGTCAAACGCGCAGAAATATGCGCATGCGCGCGGCGCGTGCGAGAACGCACTACTCACGTGTGATTGACAATGGCATCAGCTCCGAGCGGTGGTTCTAGCGGTGGGAAGCCCAGAGGCAGTGTGCGGGAGGTGAAGCAGGTCCAGCTGGACGGGAGCGTGGTCCTCAAGATCATCAAACACTGCCAGGAGGAGGGCAGCGGGAGCGAGTGGGTGACTGGCTGTCTGGTGGGCGTGGTCGTCGACGAAACGCTCGAAATCAGCAACTGTTTCCCGTTTCCCAAGGACTCCACGGATAACCCTCGCGAGGAGATCGAATACCAGAAGAACGTACTCAAGAAGCTGCGGACGGTGAACGTTGACTATCACGAGGTCGGCTGGTACCAATCCACGTATCTCGGCTCCCACGTGTCTCGAGAGTTCCTGGAGGCTCACGTGGGCTACCAGCGAGCCATCCAGGAGTCTGTCGTTCTCATCTATGATCCTCTCCAAACGTCTCGCGGGGCTCTCAGCCTCAAAGCCTACCGCCTCACACCACAGATCCTCACCATGATGGGCGCCTCTGACCCCTTCACTCCGGAGAGCGTCCAACAAGCCAGGGTTGTCCACAGCGACGTTCTGGTGGAGTTGCCCGTCACTCTGAGATCGTCGCGTCTCACCTCCGTCCTTCTCCAGGAACTCCCCAAATCCACCACCCTCCCTTCGAATGCCCTCCTGGGTCTCTCGTCCACCGAACTCCTCCAGAAGAACGTTCAGTTGCTGATGGAGAACGTCGAGTCGCTGCAGCTGGAGACGTACCGGCTGCTCGGCTACGAGAAGAACATCTCAAAGCAGGCGCAGCAGAAGCAGCAGTTCCTCCAGCGGAGGAGGGAGGAAAACGAGCGACGGGAGAAGACGGGCGAGCCGCCACTCCCGATGACCGACGAGGCAATTGAGCAGGAGTCGAGCCTCAAGCCCGTGGTCCCACCTCAGCGACTCGAGGCTCTCCTGATTGGTGAGCAGGTCGACCTCCGATGTCAGCAGATATCCGAGATTGCCGGCGCTGCCTTTGCAAAACTATACCTCGCCGAGGGGCTCCAGCCAAACTAGCACTAATATCATACAGTCAATGATTCTCTCCCTTGTAAAACTGTATGTTGTTACAAATGAAAGCACTAAAGTGCAAACCCTCGGCACACTATATAGAAATGTGGAACCCATACACAAGTGTGGCACCACCACAATTGATGGTCTTCACCATGCATCAGCATGTTATGCACCATTTCCATGGATTATTATCAATAGGTGAAAAAAAAGGCCAGCCGCTATATCTGTTTGAGGCCCAAAAAATATATAAGGTTGAAAAATTGGCAACTTTTATCTCTCTATTAATATTCGTATTACCCGTGGATTGTTTAGTGCAAAAAAAAATTTCAAAACCCAAGGTTGGAAAAAAAAACAAAAAAAACGGCCAGCCCTTCATCTCTCCAGACAGACGTCTACGGACGCAGTGCTATGCCGAACTGTACGCTGCCCTTTGAGAAACATGGGTCAGTGGTAGATTTGTGGGTAAGGGGAGGAACCAGAGCTGTTCCCAGCCAATGCTCTGGACCACCTGACACTTTCAGTGCGGGATCGGGATACGAACCCCGCACCTATGGTGTCAGTCCCCACGACTCTAACCACCTAGCCACTCCGGCTGGCCTGGAGAGGTAATGAAAAAACGTTCCATATATACCAACACTCCTATTACATCATTGTAAAAAAGGCGTACACACCCGGGATCGAACCAGGGACCTCACGATCAAGAGAGGGGCTGCTTATCCATCAGACCACCACCATTACTTGAATGGGAACAGTGTAAATGAAAAGCACTAAAGTGCAAACCCTCGGCGAAGTAGCTCGCAGAGAGTCTGACGCGGGCTAGCTACAGTTGTAGATAGCACGCGATAGTCGATACACGACACTCGTTGTGACTTCTTGTGCCTTCAAGATAGACAGAGCAAGCGGACCCGGTCCTGTGCTAAATATAAGCGCATGCGCATTAGGCCGCCAGCGATAAAATGGCGACTACAGGCATTTGCCATACAATGCTGGAAGCGCCTAGCTTAGCAACGGAGCATTTTCAGAGAAAAACGTTCGAAATTTCTGACCTTCATTGCCGGTTAAGTAGGTTGTATCGTTTGTGAGACGAACAGACATTCGAGAAGTGAGATTGAGAGTAACAGACAGACAGACAGACAAACCGAACTACAGTACCCTCGCTGCGCATGCGCGCCGAGGGTAAAGACAGTATAAGTAAATAATTCGTGAATTACGTGAATTTTTAATCTTGAAGTGTTTTCGCTAACACTTCCGTTTATATAGCAGGCCACACAATTAGTGGAATTTAGCTTCTATGACATAATTATAGATGACAAAAGACAGTTATGTGAGAATTGGTCAGATGGTGTATACTTGTGGGGGTGGGTAGAAGAGTATTAGGAGCGAGTCGACAGATTTGAGGCAGAGTCTTGCCAGAAGTCCTGAGAGCTGTAGTTGTGAGTCCACACCTTCAGTCAGTCTCATGTGAGTGTACCCAATCTCCTGGGGAAGGTTAATAGAGAGAAGCTCTGTTTCGTCTGTTTTACGTATCGGCACTGCTCATCTCTGTCCTGTCTCAACCTCACGGACCCACACGCGCGCTACCCGTCTCACACGTCTCACACGTCGTCCTCCCTCTCTCCTCTCCCTCCCTCTCTTACTTTGATAAACTCCAACTTGAGGTACTCCGCCATTTGCTGTGTCTTGCAGACTCTGAAGATGTTAGTGATGATGTCATGAGGGGAATACCCCTTGTCCCAGAGGCTCTTGAGAATGAGGTAAGCGCTGTCAATGTCGGTGCTGATACAGTGGTTCAGCATCTCCTTGATCAGCAGGGGGTGTGGCTCATCGCAAACCTTCATTAATGTGATCACTTTTTTAAATGATAACGGTCAGTTTTGATACAAACCTTGAAGACGTTTGTAGCATTGACGTGACCAAATCCAGCGTACGTTGACTGAAGATTATTGAGGGCCTGTGCCAGGAAAATATATCACAACATCTAGCAGACAGAGGGTGATAGACGGCATGCATGCGCACACACATTCAGACCTGTCTCATGTCTCCCTGAGCTGTAAATATGACAGCCTCTAGACCATCGTCTGTGTGTGAGACCTGGAAGACACACGCACATCCACTAGCAATACAGAAATGTAGAGTTTTTTCCCTCCAGTTGACCTTTTCTTGTCACAGACCTCCATGAGTCTGCTGAGGATTTGAGCATCGCTCAGTTTCGAATACCTCAGAACCGCACATCGAGACTGTATCGGCTCTGGATGAGGAGGAAGAAGAGGAGGAGGAGAGGAGGAAGAGAGGAGGAGGAGAGGAGGAGAGAGCTGCCTTGAACAAAGGTGTCTTACCTCTTTGAGGGAGATAAAACGTCCTCGAACAATAAAGGACAAAACACAAATGAGAACAAAGTACTATGTTGATGAGGTGAGGGGAAGCTTGATGTATTACACGGCTCACAATAGTACAATAGAAATTTTGCTACCGATGATTTTGTTGGAGGTGTTGCAGGCGAGGGCGAATCTGGTTGTCTTTGAATAGATTTCCATCGTTCTTCTCAGAGCTTGTTGAGACCCATCTGTCATACTGGAGGGTGAGTGGAGTAATAGAGGAGAGAGAGAGAGAGAGAGAGAGAGAGAGAGCCACAGAGATTCAGTGCAGGCAAAGTAAATCTTTTAGGGTACCAAGAAGTTCCAGAGGTAAAGTATAAAACAGTAAACCTTCTAGTGCATAGAGAGGTTCCAGAAATACCTGTCTGCTTCATCGAGAATGACAATCTTGTGCCTCCCTTGTGGGAGCGTCACCTTCTGGTGGGCAAACATCTTGATCCTGTTGCGGACCACATCAATCCCTCTGCAAACAGATCACACGAGAATACTAATGAGCAGTGAGTGAGGGCACATAAAACTGATTGTGATATCTGGAAATATTGCTAGAAACTGAATATTTTGCATAGATATAAGGTTCACGATTGCGCAAAAGGATACCCATCCCTCTGTAAAAACGTTTAGAAAGACGTGTGTGACTGTCAAATGTTCCCCCTCCCAATAATATTGCTAAACGTGCACATACCTATCATTGGAAGCATTCAGTTCCAGGACGGCGTCTTTGAAGGAGGCTCCGAGGAGAGTTCTGGCAAGACAGAGTATACTGGTGGTCTTCCCAGTACCTGGAGGTCCCTAGAGATATACACCTGTTATAGGGCACTGATTCTGGTAGGGAGGAGGGAAACTCACCGCTATTATTAGGTTAGGTACATTCCCTTCTCTTGAAAACACCTGTATGTAAGAATGTGTGTGTGTGCTCGCATCAATTTTGTGAGCTGAGAGCTTGTGGCATGGAATAATTAGAGAACTGACCTCTAGCCTGCTAATGGTGTCCTCATTTCCCACTACTTCTTTCAGTTTGGTCGGCCTGTATTTCTCTATCCTTAGTGTACGGAAGAATACGGAGAGTATACGATCACTGAACACGGACCGCAGCCGCGATGCGTACCAGGGAAGTTCGTGAGTTGATCTCTTGGCCGGTTTAGGAGCATCTGCAGGTTTAGAGGTTGCTTCTTCTGCCGGAGCGGCAGAAACATCCATTGGCTCTTCTCCTTCATCTGCCATTTTCCCCCGGTCTAGCTAGCTAGCTCTAGCTCAGTCGGCAATGCGCATGCGCGTGAGGATCCGTGGCACGCTAAAATCTTGGCCGCGAGCCAGGTGCGACTGAACTTTCGCGTTCTCTAACTTTTTGACGAGAGAAAGAACGAGCGCCTTTTTCACGACATGGCGCGACCAGCAGGACAGCTGCTGCTACTGATGCTCGGCACGGCGGCCTTGTGGACAGGGGCCACGGGGACTGGTTCGGGATCGGCGTCTGGTTCGACTCCACGTAAGCCAGTTGTATATATGCACGAATGAACGAGAAATCTGAGTTCGTACACTTATTTACCTTCTCTAAGATAGAGTATGTAGACTTCTGACCCTTTCTTCGTTTGTTTCTGCAAAGCTGTTTCTGTTTTGCACCTTTTTCCGTGCTGCTTGCGGCAAAAATACTCTTTTTTTTGCAGCGGGATCGCCTGCGGAGTTGGTGATCGTCCCAGCGAACACCACTGCGACCGAGGGAAACACGCTCATCCTCGTCTGCGTCGCCTACGGAGACCCCACTCCGGACATATCGTGGCTCAAAGACGGCACGGTTCTAGCCAACGACAGCAGCCGGATAACCGTTCTCACTGAGGTGGTGATGGAGCAAGGGATCCCGTTCGTGCAGTCGACGCTGCGAGATATGCGGTCTAGACGTCGCGGAAGACTCGGGCCTCTACTACTGCACAGCCGACAACGAGTTTGGGACCGCCACGAGCGTCTTTGAGATCTCCGTACAGCCTGCTGGTGAGTGAAAAAAAAATTCAGAACTAAACCAAGTTACCTGCCATTGAAAAGGGCTTACGTAGTGTCTCCGGCCTTGCATTTCATGATGGTAAAAACTTCCCCATGTCTGGTGCCTGCTGTGTAAGTAGTTAGTGTGTGCAGCTGTGATTACATTCGATCAGCAAAGAATTTGTTTTCGGCTACACTTTGGCTGTAGCTGAGGGAATGGTGCAGTTTCTTTTGACACTTGTGAAAGCTTGCGTTTACCAATTTTTGAGTCTGACTTTTCGTGCCATCTTCTTATTTTTCCGTGCTGCAGAGAGGGTTGAGATTGTTGTTCAGCCTGACAATGGAACCTTCACGGAGGGAAACACCGGCATCTTCACCTGTGTGGCATCGGGCGAGCCGAGCACCCCCAGCATCGCCTGGTGGATGAACGAGATGGAGCTGTACAACTCATCCGCGGAAGGGAGAGTGAAGATCTATCAGGAGACCGTGGAGGTCAAGGGAGCCACGTTTGTAGTCTCATATCTCGAGATTTGTGGAATCACCATGGACGACGCGGGGGTGTATTCTTGCTCTGCCTATCTTCCGTCTGCCAACGTCACCAGTGGAGAATTTAGAGTCAGCGTCACTTCTGCCTTACGTAAGACAACTGAGTTTTAGTGCTATCCAAGGTTTGCAACCATGGGCCTAATGTGCTCGAGAATAATTATGTCTTGTTTTTCGGGAGTGGGCTTGAGGCAGTGTATATACTCAGTGGTAATGTGTGGGTCGAAACCTGTTGTAATGTCACCAAGTGAGTAGTATTGGTTTTGTGGAGTATGTACAGCAGCAACGCCAGTTCATTCCTCCACTCCTCCACTCGCCCACCTATAATTATACCTCTTCCCTCTCTCTCTCTCTGTCTCTCTCGCTTTGCCTCTCTGTCCCCCCACCCCTCAGCTGAAATTGTCATCGCTCCTGCCAACACGGAGGTTGCCGCCGGGAACACTGCCATCTTCACCTGCGTCGGTCTCTCCGAACCTCCTCCCAACATCACCTGGACATTCGAGGGAGAGGCTATCGCCAACGATTCCAGGACCTCCGTCTACAGCCTGGAGTTGGAGGAGAATGGGGTCGTGTTCACCGTGTCCTTGTTGGAGCTGTGTGGAGTGGATCTGGAGGAGAGTGGGACCTACTCCTGTGTGGCTACTGGGGGGATGGCTAATACCACCGCCTACTTCCAGCTGAATGTGCTCGAACAGAGTAAGTAATACAGTGTATAGGAGAACTTTGAAGACAGACATTTGCTTGGTTTTAGCTTAAAGCTTAAAGCAGAGCTCTTTTATGCTTAATGAGCACGCTCGGCACATGTATGGGTGGAATTTTGGAGTGAAAGTAGTCAGTTAGCCCCGCTCCTGCTTTCTGATTAAACCCTGATTTTTGTATACGAAATCTTGTAATTCGCTTGCCCCTCTCTCTCTTCTCTCCTTCCCCTCTCTCTTTTAGATGCCCCAGATATTGTCATTGCTCCTCAGAACACGACGCTTGACGTCAACAACACGGCCCTCTTCACGTGCGTAGCCCTTGCTGGCTCCGCCCCCTCTGAGACGACCATCTCCTGGATGAAGGGAGGCACGAATCTCTACAACGACTCCAGGGTCACCGTGTATACCACAGCCATTAACGAGGGGGGCGCGGTCTTCATTCACTCCATCCTGGAGATTTGCGGCGTGACGCTGGAGGACAGTGACTACTATACTTGTGTGGCAGGGAATGCCTTTGGAATTGACTATAGCAACTTCACAGTTGAAGTAGTGGATACTGGTACGTAGGTAGTAGTGGATACTGGTACGTAGGTAGTAGTGGATACTGGTACGTAGGTAGTAGTGGATACTGGTACGTAGGTAGTAGTGGATACTGGTACGTAGGTAGTAGTGGATACTGGTACGTAGGTAGTAGTGGATACTGGTACGTAGGTAGTAGTGGATACTGGTACGTAGGTAGTAGTGGATACTGGTACGTAGGTAGTAGTGGATACTGGTACGTAGGTAGTAGTGGATACTGGTACGTAGGTAGTAGTGGATACTGGTACGTAGGTAGTAGTGGATACTGGTACGTAGGTAGTAGTGGATACTGGTACGTAGGTAGTAGTGGATACTGGTACGTAGGTAGTAGTGGATACTGGTACGTAGGTAGTAGTGGATACTGGTACGTAGGTAGTAGTGGATACTGGTACGTAGGTAGTAGTGGATACTGGTACGTAGGTAGTAGTGGATACTGGTACGTAGGTAGTAGTGGATACTGGTACGTAGGTAGTAGTGGATACTGGTACGTAGGTAGTAGTGGATACTGGTACGTAGGTAGTAGTGGATACTGGTACGTAGGTAGTAGTGGATACTGGTACGTAGGTAGTAGTGGATACTGGTACGTAGGTAGTAGTGGATACTGGTACGTAGGTAGTAGTGGATACTGGTACGTAGGTAGTAGTGGATACTGGTACGTAGGTAGTAGTGGATACTGGTACGTAGGTAGTAGTGGATACTGGTACGTAGGTAGTAGTGGATACTGGTACGTAGGTAGTAGTGGATACTGGTACGTAGGTAGTAGTGGATACTGGTACGTAGGTAGTAGTGGATACTGGTACGTAGGTAGTAGTGGATACTGGTACGTAGGTAGTAGTGGATACTGGTACGTATGTAGTAGTGGATACTGGTACGTAGGTAGTAGTGGATACTGTGGTATGTATGTAGTATTTTACACGCTGTTCAGTTAGCCCGCTGAATCTACGCCTAGTTTATGTAGGGACTCTGTACGTATGGAGATGTGATGTTAAAAGCGTTTTGTGCAAAATGACATATGAGCCTATGTACAATTATGTGTATAAAGTGCTCTCTCCTTTCCCTTGTTCATTTTCCCTCCCCTTGCTTCCTTCTTTGCCTCCTTTTCCCCCTTCTCTCTCTCTCTCTCCCTCCCTCCCTCGTTCTCTCTCTCTCTCTCTCTCTCTCTCTCTCTACTTCAGGTCCTCCTGACATAGTGATAGCTCCCAGCAACACTGACGTGCTGCTAGGTAACACCGTCCTGCTGACCTGCGTCGTCGCATTCCTCAACACTCCGCCCGAGTTGTCATGGCACCGAAACGACACCGGCGAGCTCTACAACACATCCGACGTCTCCATCTACACCTCAACGATCGAAGAGGGCGGGGTCATGTTCCTGCGGTCAATCCTGGAGTTGTGTGGAGTGGAACTGTCAGACGAGGGACTGTATTTCTGTCAGGCCGCCTTTGATATGAACCCCGACAGAACGAGTCGCGCTTATTTCTACGTCGACGTCTTTGAAGGTATGACGTATTCATTAACTTGCTGCCCAACCATAAAATACACGTTAACTTGCGCAAGGCACACACTACATTAACCTGGTTTAAAACCAGAAAATTGTGCTGTTTATCTGATATAGTACTTTGATTTGAAGTAGTGGTGGAAGTGTAGAATGGAGTGACTGGGGAGTACATTATATATATACCCTTGATGTGAGAGGTAATAAGGGACTCGTGGTACAGATAATTGTTTCAGACTTGATCAGTATTCAAAGCACTGAAACTGGGACGGCTAATACACCAATCCGGGCACATTTCCCAACGTCGCTCACGAAAAAGCAGTGTCCTACAGCATTGTGTTAGTACATGTGTGTTAGTTGTTTGGGCGGAGTGGGGTCACGAGGTACAGGTGGGAGGGAGCCAGGAATGGCGGAGGAGTCCTCTCTTGGGACCCACAGTTATCATTCCCCGAACCATGTTCTAACAGTCTTGTCGTCCCCACGTCCATCCATCTCGGTGTACTGTTACCCACGGCGCCTGGTGTGCGGTGGGTATAGCATGTGTGCACTTCCACTGGTACTTTATGGATTGTCATTGGTGTGGTGTATATATATCATATATGTGAAGGTATGTAGTGTGTACAGAACTAGAGTGTTATAGATAGGTCAGTGATGTCTCCTCGTGCGACTCGCATGTAGTGTCTGTATGTGAAAGCCCTTTGCTGTTGCCTAAGACAACCATGGTTATGATGAGTCTATGGCAGTATCATTGTTAATCTATGACACGTACGGCTATTTTATCTTATTCATAACCACAGACCATGGTATACATTACAGAGTCCCTCGTATGATAGTTCCTATGCGACCATGGTATTATAGTTCCTAATGGCGACCATGGTGTCCCATGGTGTCTTATGGAGCTGTGTGTACTGTGTGTATGTGTATGTGATTTGTGAACCCAACATTTGGATCTTATTAACCCCTTTCTAGCTCTTTTCTCGCTCAATGTTTTATGTACACAATTGTGTCTCTCTCCTTCCCTCCCTTGCTCCATCCTTCTTGCCTCCCCCCCCCCCTCCCCCCCCCTCCCCCCCCCCTCCCTCCCCACTCCACACACACACCACAGAGAACGTAGAGATAATCGTGGCACCAGCTGACTCTGCCGCCAGAGCCAACTCAACCATCCTCTTCACCTGCGTGGCCTACGGCGTCCCTCTCCCCTCCTACATCACTTGGACCTTCAACGGCACCGCCCTCTCCAACTCCAGCTCGGCCGACTACAGCCTCTCCATATATCACTCACAGTTCCAAGTGGGCGGGGCAGTGTTCCTGCAGTCGATACTGGAAATATGTGGCCTGGTGGAGGAACAGTCTGGCTACTATTCCTGTAGCGCTGAGAGCAGTGCTGGCAATGATACCGAGACATTTAGACTCATTGTACAACCTCTAGGTAATGCTACAGTACCTATACTTCAGCAACTCAGGAAATTTTTTTGTTGTTTCGAATAAGTCTTTGTTTGCCATTAAAATTACCTATGTATGAAAATATTTTTCACAAATAGAGCCTTATCTTCCACCTCTCTCCAGTCCCACCTGAGATCGTGATAGCTCCGCCCACTCTGGTCCAGGGTCGTCGAGGGCAACACCGTCCTCCTCACCTGCGTTGCCCTCGGTTACCCTCGCCCCAACATCACCTGGACTAATTACTACTCCGGAGCCTCGTACGGGAACGGGACACTCACCAACAGACACCGGGTGACGGAGACTGTGGCGTCGCAGAACGGAGTGGAGTTTGTGACGAGTGTGTTTGAGATATGCGGCGTGGAGTTTGAGAGATGCCGGGCAGTACAGGTGTGTGGCAGAGAGCAGCTCCGGAGCCACCTCCATCCGGTTCAATATCACCGTTGAGGAACCTCTAGTGTGTGTGTGTGTGTGTCTAGGATGAATAGCACAGGGTCGAACAAACTTGAAAATTCTTGTGTGTAACTAAATGCTCTTGACTTCATGCTAGTGCTATGCTGCAACATAAACTACTATGACCACAGCATGAGCATTTTCCAAGAACAGCCAACCAGGAATTTTCCCTCTATTTCTAGCCACCTACGTCTATAAATTCACCTTGAAACTGTATGCAGCTTGAGGCAAATACAATTCAGAAGGTTCATGCTCCAGAAGTTTAAGTCTTCCTCTCTTTTTCTTATCTCCCCTCACTGTCTCTCCAGCCGGCCCAGCCATTGCCATAGCTCCCAACGACACGGAGGCCGACATCAATTCCACAGTCATCTTTCGTCTGCGTCGCCTACGGCAACCCCCTGCCCCAACATCTCCTGGGTTTTCGGGGGTGACTATGAGACGCTGGCCAACGACTCCATCGTCTCCATCTTCACGGATGAATTCACCGAAAGTGATGTCACTTTCGTCCGTTCGTATCTCCAGTTGTGCGGAGTGACTGTGGAGAACCAGGGGCTTTACTCCTGTGTCGCCGAGAATTCAATCAACATCACTCAGTCCTACTTTTACCTCAACATTCTCGGTCAGTTGACACCTCCAATTGTTTTTTTTGTAGTAAATAAAACAAATTCAAGGTTCAACCTAAAATGTCTAGGAAACAAAATTCAGAAGCTGGTGAAAATTATGACTATCAAAAGTGGGGGGTTAAATATTTCACTTGTTTTGTTTCACTATGGCAATTATATTGGATGGCATCCAAATTTGTTAGTTCAACAGTTTTTAGTCCGTTCCTATTTTCGTCATTTCTCTCTCTCTCTCTCTCTCCTCTCTCTCTCTCTCTCCATTACAGAACCTCCCACAGTGGCTATCCAACCCGACGACACCGTTGCAAACTACGGCGACACTGTCCTCCTCACCTGCGTCGTGTACAGCGTAGACCCGCGTCCCTACGTCCCTCCCAACGTCCTCTGGTACAGGGACGAAGAACTCATCGCCAACTCCACCGACGCCGGGAGCGACGGTGGCGATTACGACGCAGTGAGTGTGGGTATATATGAGGACACTTCGAAGTGATGGGCGTCCAGTTCACGCGCTCCATTCTGGAGCTGTGCGGAGTCACGTTGGCCGAGACAGGAGAGTACAGCTGCGTCGCCAACGACTCTATAGGGATGAGTCCGCCCGCCACTTTCAATGTCTCCGTCTTCACTAGCGGTGAGAGGAACAAGATACTGTGTAGCAGAAATGTTTGGGTCATTAGAAAGTCTTAGTTTTCTTGGCGAAATTTTGGCGGAGAATGTTGTGTTAGTGGGACTAGAAATCTGCGATTTTTATGTTTTATGTGTATATATGTACAGTAGGTAACTCTTTGTCAAATTAGGTGTGTTTTTGACTCTGCAAATTTGTGTCTTTTTTGTGTTTGACTTGATTTTTCACGCATCTCTCTATTTTACAGTTACCATTGTAATAGCCCCTTCGGACGAAGTAGTGTCTGCAGGTGTTACGTCTCTCTTCACGTGCGTTGCCACGGGAATCCCTGACCCCGCCTTCTCCTGGTTACTAGAGAACACTGCAATCGCCGAGGGCGACCGACACAACATCACCACGGTGACAGAGGTCATAGAGGGCGTGACCTTTGTGACTTCCGTTCTCCAAATATGTGAAATTAATTTCAGCGACGAAGGAACGTACCGGTGTGTTGCAGATGTGCCAGGACTTAGCGATTCTGCCAGTTTTGAAATTTCCATACAAGATGTAGGTGCGACAATTGAGGTTCCACCAATGAACGTCACTGTAGTAAGAGGGACCGAAGTAACGCTCGTGTGTGGGGCCATGGGGGCACCTCTTCCACTGTGACGTGGACACAAAATATGGGAGTAATGGCAGCGGGGAATGTTACCAACACTGTGTTCGACATCATTTCTGTCAATTCGACGCTTGAGCTTGGCCCCGTGGAGGAGACGGCCACGTACATCTGCGCCGTCGATAATGGTCTAGTTGGTGGCGACACTGCAGCTGCCGTTGTCACCGTTCAGAGTACGGAACTTTCCTTCTTTTCCTCCTCTCTTCTTCCTTCTTGTCTTCTCCCATTCCCTCCTTCCATCTTCCTTCCTCTTGTATCAACTTGTTCCTTCCCCCGCTCTTTCTCCCTCCCTGTCTTCATCTTTGTGCGATTCATATCCTCTCTCTCCCCCCTCCTCCTCCTCCTCTTCCTCCTCTTCCTCCTCCTCCTCCTCCTCCTCCTCCTCTTCCTCCTCTCACAGTCCCACTGGCAATAGAGACCGACCCAATGAACGCCACCGTAATGGTGGGAGATACTGCTCTTTTCAGCTGCTCGTTCACCGGTGATCCACTCCCCACCATCGAATGGTTCGAGCGAGCCAACCCCTCCTCCCCCCTCTCCGACATGAAGTATACAGTCACGCTGTCAGGGAACGGACTGGCGTCTGAATTAAATTTCACAACAGAGGTCTCAGACCACAACACGGCGTATTCCTGCAGGGCCATGCAGACTCTGGTGACTGGGGAGGTTATGGAGGAAACCAGCTCAGCTTTTCTCACCATCTTATGTGAGTTGGTATCACGAGAAGGCAACGTGTCTTTTTCTGACCCTCTCTACATCATTTTTTCACGTTTTTCACCCATTCACTAGTTTCCTCCTTCTCTTTCTTCATCCGTACCTAATTATTGGCTTTCATTTTTCATTTCTCCATCTTTCTTTTCTCCGCTGCTCGTCTTGCTTCCCCCCGCCCTCTTTCTCCTCTCGCTTCTCTTTCCTTTCCCCATTTCCCCCCCTCCCTCCGTCTCCTCCCCCTCCTCCCCCAGCTCCACCTCAGCTTGAACCTCGCCAGCTGATGCTTCCGGCCGTCCGAAACGGGACACAGGACCTCTCGTTCAACATCCTCAATGCTCTTCCTCCGGTAACCGAGGACGACATCATCTGGTCTTTCAGACCGACCGGAGCCGCAGAGTCTTCTGTTATCGACGAGACCACAAGTGATCGCTATCGTTCACGTTCGTGGAAGACGCAGACCCTCCGTACGTGAGGTTGAGGATCCACCCAGTGGAGCTGGAAGATGAGGGGAACTATACTCTCTCTGTTGAGAACATGGTTGGAAATGACTCCTTCACTGTGTCTGTGGAGGTTTTCAGTAAGTCTCTCTCTCTCTCTCTCTCTCTCCTCTCTCTCTCTCTCTCTCTTATTAGCAGTGTTTGCTGCGTCCTGTTGAAGCTCCTTTGAGCTCTTCACAAGCAATTGCATGTTACTGGTTGCGCTGCATGTACATACGGCCTTTCCCTTCTCCCTTCTCTTTCTCCTTGCTCCCCCCTCTGCCCTAATTCCTACCTTCCTCTCTCCTTCCTTCCCCCTCCTCCCTCTCTTTCTCCCCACTCCACCCTCCAGTTGGAGCCTTCATTGTGGACCCTCCCAACGACACCACGGTACACGTCGGACTCAACGCCACGTTCCGCTGCGTCGCAACCTCAGACCCACCACACAACACTGTGTGGCTATTCAACAGCCAAGACCTTATGAACGGAGACAAGTATATGATTGTTAACGAGAGCGAGGCCGTCAGTGTTCTGACTGTGTTGAACGTGACGGGAGAGGACGATGGAGACTACACGTGTGACGTCATGAACGAATACGGCAATGATACCGCTGATGCAGTCCTGGCTGTCATATGTAAGTCATGTGATCATCAGGTGATATTGTGAACAATATCTGTGTATGTACTCCTGTACTGATTTGTGGACTTCATCTTGGTTTGATTTCTTTTTCTGCAGCAACGCCGCTTGTGGAAGCAATCACAATGTCGCCAGTCGTAGCTCTACCAGGGACAACTGTCACCCTGTCTTTCAGTGTCACCAACTCTCTGCCTGCCGTTGCGTCGTCAGTAGTGACTGGCGGCAAGTCAATGAGGAAGGAGCGCAAACTATTGCCTCAGAAGACACCCGGTTCACCTTCTCTGGTGACTTCACTAGTCTGACCATTAGCGACATCCACCCGTTTGATGAGGCTACCTATGTTCTAACAGTCACCAACGGTGTTGGTCTTACGGGCTCTGCTAGTATCGACTTAGACGTTCAGTGTAAGTGCGTTCTTCACGATATGGAAAATTTTCTTCGTTTTGTGACTGATTTTCCTGCATAGTCACCTCTCTCTCCTGTCATCATTATTTTTCCTCTCCTCTTTTCTCTCTTTTCTCAGTTGCAGCTGCCATTGTGACTCCACCTGTAAATGCCGCCGCAGTTGTCGGCGAAGACGCGAACTTCACGTGTGTAGCAGGGGGTGAGCCGACCCCTACCATCACCTGGGTGTTCAACGACCAAGAACTGACCAACGGCAGCAAGTACACCATCACCGAAAGCTTCGACACCACTGAAATGATAGCAGATGTCCCCGTTGCGACTATACAGTCGGTGCTGGTTGTAGTGGGGGTGGAGGAGGGAAGTGGGGGCACGTACACCTGTCGGGCCGAGAATACTCATGACACCGTCACGGCGGACGCTGATCTTCAGCCACTGAGTAAGTTGGCACCACTGGTGCAAAAATGGTGTGTGTTGACCAAAAGTTTCTAGACATTGAGTGAACTGTTCTCTGTAACCCTTGTTTTAGGAGCGCCTGAAGTGACCCTCATGAGTACACCAGATCCTGCCCTCTTTGGCAACGGGCTGACACTAACGGCAACAATAACGATGGACTTACCCCCAGTGGTACCGGACGGTATCCGTTGGTACTTCTTGGTCGATGTTGGTAGCGGTGGTGGTGGAGATAACCAAACAGGCGAAGATAAGGGCGTGGAGATTGTTGAAGGTGAAGGAATAACGTTCTCGGAAGATCGACGGACTCTGACGATTTCTTCGCTGAGCTACGGCAATGAAGGATTGTATACTGTGGGAGTCATGAATGTTTTTGGTGACTTTAGGGTGTTGCTACCGACAGCGCCTTTGTGGATGTGCAAGGTAGGGAGAGAGGGAAGGGAGGAGGGGGATGAGAGGAAGAAAGAGAGAGTAGGGAGAGAGGGAAGGGAGGAGGGGGAGAGAGTGAGAAAGAGAGAGTAGGGAGAGAGAGAAGGGAGGAGGGGGAGAGAGTAGGAAACGGAGAGAAGGGAGAGAGAGAGAACGTAGAAAGAGACACGCAAGAGGCAATAATGGAGGGCTAGAGGGAGGAGGTAAGAAGGAAGGGAGGAGGGGGAGAGAGTAAGGAGAGAAGAGAAAGAGTGACAAGAGAGAGGGTAGAGCGTAGGACACATGTAAAGGAGTTCTAGAGGGAAGGCAGTGGGAAGGAAGGAAGGAAAGAGGAAGGAGAGAGGTATGTCATGTGACTGTACCTCCCTCCCCGATGCAGCTGCACCATGGGTCGCCATCTCCCTCTTACCTCCGCGACCAGTCGAGGGAACCATGGTAACAGTGAGGTGTGAAGTAAGAGCCGAGCCGGAAGCAGACGTGTACTTTACTGGACCCGTCCTGGACACCGCCAACCTGCGATACTCCACCAGTGACAGGAGCTATAGTGGTGACCTGTACTATAGTACAGAGCACAATCTGACTATTACTGACCTTATGACCTCTGATGCTGGAAATTACACTTGTCGAGCTAACAACACGCACGGCTCTGTGACCTCTGAACCCATCTTCCTCAATGTACTAGGTGAGTACAATATACCTCACACAAGACTATGTTAGAAACATTCGCTACGAAAAACTTTAGCGAATCGGTCAAACGCAACATTAATTTTAGTGAGAAAATTAAATATTAATGCAGTCGACGGCACATTTAAAAAATAGTTACTCTCTCGTTTTCCTTACACGAACAATGGCAAAGTTTTTTTGCTGTGAAAATAGTAATCCCTTTCCAACAGTGTTGCCAGAAGTGATGGCGGACAGAGATCTTTATCAGTACATCGCTGGACAGCCAAGCGTCTCCATCTCGTTCTCGACGTCGGAGCGCGAAAACCCACGTCTGAGCGGAGACGACGTCACCGTGTGGTTCCGGAACACGGACGGAATGGTCTCGGAGGTCGTGGAATCCGACTACCGCACCGTGACGCTGGATCCACCAGAAGGGGGCGTGGTCAATCGGATCACCGTCAGTTTTACACCCGTGCGTATCCAAGACAACGGGACGTACTGGGTAACTGCCACCAATGAAGCTGGCACCACTAATTCAACCCCTGCTAGGGTCGAGGTGTTCGGTAAGGAGTGAGTGAAATATGTGAAAAATGCTCTTCTGTGCGAGATGGAGTTCTTCAGTGCTTTCTCTGTTGTCTCTCTCTTCCTCATTTCTCCCTCTTCCCGCCGCTCTTTCTATTCCCTCCCCCTCCATTGATCACAGTCAACCCAACTATAATGGCGGAAGGCGAGTTGATGCAAGTGCTTGACGAACTAGAGTCCGTCACGTTCAGCTGCATTGCTACTGGCAACCCCTCTCCTTCTTTCACTTGGACCAGAAACGAACAGTTCCTACCGGTATTTACAATGCATCCATGCTTACACCACAGTCGCACAATTTGCTATCAAGAAGCATGCAGAGATAGTAGGTGACTGTATGTGTGTGTGTCTGTCATGCTATCCCACTCATTACCAGACCGCCACCTCGGCAAGATTTGGAGAACGCAGCGAGACGAACGGCACGAGGGCTGAAGATGGGAGTTTCACAACGACCGGTTATCTCGCTATTGTCAATTTGACTGTCGGTGACTCGTCCTCCTACGCCTGCTCGGCATCGATCGGAGTGGCTCTGCCAGCTGCAGTGAACGCCATCATACCCGATCCCTTCACCCTCACCGTCAATGAGAGTATGTGTATATGATGTTAATAATACAGTACTATCTGAGCTCTTGCTAGCTTGCAACCGTATCATTCTCCCATTCAGTAAGTATGTATGTCCTACTGCCTTTGTTACATTCATACATTGCGGGAAATCGAGTTTGGTTTAAACGGTTCTCTCTTACCGCACAGTACTGTTTGATGACTGTGCTTCGAGTCCGTGTGTCAACGGAGATTGTGAAGACATTGGCGACGGCTTCGTCTGTCGGTGTCCGGACGGTTTCAACGGCATTCTGTGTGCAAATCGTGAGTGATCTTACATCTCCCTCTCCTCTTACATCTCCCTCTCCTCTTACATCTCCCTCTCCTCTTACATCTCCCTCTCCTCTTACATCTCCCTCTCCTCTTCCTCATCTCCCTCTCCTCTTCCTCATCTCCCTCTCCTCTTACATCTCCCTCTCCTCTTCCTCATCTCCCTCTCCTCTTCCTCATCTCCCTCTCCTCTTACATCTCCCTCTCCTCTTACATCTCCCTCTCCTCTTCCTCATCTTCTGCACCTTAAATTACGTCTTCTTTTTCCTAAACCACCTCACGTTCGTCTAACTCTCATCTCATGATCCTTGACAAGATGAATACTCCGGTCTTCCCACTCTTGTTGATGATTTGACCCCCCCTACCCGTTACCCCAGTTCCTATTTTCCTCTAGCACATTGTCAGGTTATTTTTCTAGAGGAACAACAGGGGGGCTCAAGTCCCGGTTTGTCAGACTTTAGTAGTGGAACGCCTTTAATATTGACACCAATGGCACAGAAAAAGTGTCCGTATTAGTGAGGTGTCCTTATTTCAGGGGATTTTTAAGAGAGGGGTTCCACACATTCACAACATCTTATCCCTCTCACCCCACAGCCGTGGTGGTACTGACGCCTCCCGAGATTATCGAGCCGCCCGAGACTACATTTGTCAACATTCAGACCGGAGTGACGCTCACCTGCATCGCCGTGGGCAACCCGCAGCCCGACGTACAGTGGTGGCGAAACAACCAGATGCTCACAGGGGAAGTTTTGGGGAAGCTGATCATCGCAGAGACGTCACTAGACGACCGAGGCGTCTATTTTTGCATAGCGTCAAACACTGAGGGCGAGGTTCAGTCTCGAAATGCCGTCATCAACTTGAGGAGTAAGTGACTAACAACGCACACATACCACACAGATCTCTGTTAACCTTTGCACAAAAGAATTGAACCTTGGATGAACATTTTTATGACACTACGAACGTTTTTTCGCTCGGCAAACAACTGAGTTTTCCAAGTACAGTGTATTTGTTACTAAAGCAATCAATCTACATTCCTACTCTATTTGCATTTCTTTCTTTTTACTATTATAGTGGTAAAATATTACTGCCTCTAGTCTACTCCCTGATAAAAGAACGTGTGGCTTCGACGATTACTTCTTTATCATTAATGAAAGTAACGTGGCTCTTAATGTGTCTGTTTCAGACATTGCCCAATTCGTCCTGCGAATCAGACTGGGCGATGTCTCCACCGGTCGCCGCAAGCGATTCACCGAGCAAGACGTCTTCAATCTGGTCGACATGGTAATGCATTAGCTGTCTCCGTGGCAGCATACCGTGATTATCATCGTTGTCCTCCCTGCAGCTGAATGATCAGTTGACTGGAACTATGATAGGAAACGCCACAGTCTACTCAGTGGCCATTCAAGATGGCTTTGACATCAAGTGAGAAAATTTTTTGTGTTGCTGTAGCCTCAAAAAGTTTTATGTACGGGAGTGGGTCTTTGTTTTTGGCAAGTGCAGAAGCAAGCGAGGGTCCAAATTGTGTAATGTTTCCATATACACACAACACTACACATTCATTAACTGCACATGTATCTGGGATTACACTTCTTTATGTTTGAGATCTAGTAAGCTCGCTCCCACTCACCAAAATGCTGCACATTGCGGCATACACTATCTCTCATTCGTACTTATACATATAGGTTATACTGCGCGTCAATGGAAATACGCGGGCGTCTCCATGGAAACACGCACTTGGAAAATACGGGATTTAGAATCCACGTTTTACGCAATCTGATTGGTCAATTTGAATCTGCCGACGTCTAAACTTACTTAGAATGTTGCCTAGCTCTGACTATGCATGCTGCCACCTCTTTTCCTCATCACAGTGACAACCCCAGTGGAGACATACCACTCGTGTTCACGTTCTTTGCGGAGAACGTCGAAGACGACACCACGGTAACGATCCCTGACCCCACGGACCCAGTGGAGCCGACAGTGGTCCCGGTCGTCATCCCGGACGTGGTGGCGATGTTCAACGTGGCGGAAATAGAGAGGATCATTGAGGAAGACGTGATGTTGGCCGCAGAGGACCTCGGACTCAACGTGACTGTGGAGGACTTTGTTAGATTTGGTAGGTCTCAGATTATGCTCTCTCTTTCTCCATTTCTTCTTTATACTCTCTCTCTCTCTCTCTCTCTCTCTCCTGTTTCGCCACGTCTTTCTTTGTAGTTCCTCTTTTTCTCTCGCCTGATTCTCCACTTATTTCTTTCTATTCATTCATGATGGATGCTGGGCAATCAACTAGAACCAAAATATTCAATTTGAACACCAAAAAACCTTTAGTAGCATCACTCTTTGGCGACCATTAATGTTGCACACCCTGCAAGAGCTGATGCCTCTCTCCTCCTCTCCCAACAGATGGTTGTGGGAGCGAGGAGACGTCGCTGTTTGACAACCTCTTCTCCTGGGATGAGACGGCCATTGGGGGTATCAGGACCCTCGCCTGTCGCTGCGACGCTGTCGACCTGCGGCAGACGGCCGACAGGGAGTGTGGAGGAAACTTCACGACTGGAGCCGTGTGGTTCAGCCCCTCGGACCAGGACTGTGACTTTGCTTCTATCACGAGACAACTGTGCATGTCGCCTGAGGTCCCTTTACTCTTCCTTCCTCCTCTTTCTTGTCCTTCTTTCTCCTCCGTTTTTTTTGTCTGCTTCTCTTCTACTTCACTTCTCTACTGCTCTCTCCCTCTCCTTCACTTTTCTCCCTCCTTCTCCTTATCCTATCCCCTCTCTCCTCTTTCCCTTTATTTATATCTCCCCACTACCCCTTCTTTCACTCCTTCACCCTTTATACTTTATGCTTCTCACACACACACACACACACACAGTTGGAAGCCATTGATAACCTGCAACTGAACAACCTGGATTATCTCGGTGTTGTTGTGGTAACGGAGCTACTTGAAGACCTTGTCAACATCAGCTCTGGCAACGAATCGGTTTGTCCATATATAGTAGTGTACGGGAGGAACCCCTCCAATCAGGACACCAATGGGACAGAAGAAGAAAGTGTCCATAATTAGTGAGGTGTCCTTATTTCGGGGGTTAAGTGCTGTTCTTGGGGAAAGAAAAGATGTAAAAAAACGGGCAGTCAACACCTGTAGCATGCTGCATGTACGTATGTACACCTAAATGTTGGCATCTTTAAAATTGTAGATTGTGCCCAACTGCATATTATGCCAATGGCATGTAATTAGGATGACATAATGATAATTATTGTGGCGTTTACACAGGAGAGTGACGTCATATTTGGTGTGATTGAAGATGTTCTGAGTGTGAGTGCCGATCAGCTAGTGCGCGGACAACTGGACTTCAACACGTCTGGACGGTGAGTTACATATTCTTGCACAACAAGCCAAGCCGTCAGAAAGAAAATCCATGAATTGACCAGAATGCCTCGGAACTGATCCCACAACGCAATAATGTCCTCAGGGGTGGGAGGTGTGTGGATTTGGCCTTTCAAAATGGACGCTGAAACATCCGAGCAAGTTTTAAATCGTTAATCCCTCTAGTGAAAAAGCCATTTTGAAAAGCCACTATTAGAGCTGCTTTTCCTGGCATTTTTTGAGTCTGTATACCATAATAGGAAAGACGTGGTACATCGCACTGTACATTCTTATAAACTGTACATTCTTATAAACTAACATCTTGTCTCTGCCGGCAGCCTCCTGTACTCGCTGGAGATCCTGGCAGATGCCTACCCAAACCCAGCCTCAATCGTACAGCAGATAACACATGACCCCTTCCGTTTCCTCCGTCTTCCTCGAGCCGAACTGACCACCAACATTATCACTGTCACGGTTACCTCCGACAACCGGCTGCAACAAGGACCCGACGGAACAGCCCGCGCCCGTGTCGACCTGCTCAACATGGCCGGCATCGACGGACTGGTGGTGGGGGTATACAACTCTCCGAGTCTCTTTGTCAGTAGGTCGCAGTATATCGAGGACAAAAACAGAACCAACGTTGTTCTAGGGAGTAGTGTTGGCGTCATCACTGTCCATTTCACCGGACAGCTGGCGAGGACTCGACTCGACGAACCGGTCGAGATCCGGTTCTGGAAGACCGCCGAGGCATCCGAGAACGGAACGGCGACCGAGTGTGCGTTCTGGGACCAGAGCCTGGACGAGGGTTTCGGGGCGTGGTCCAGTGAGGGCTGTCGGCTGGAGACAGAGACAGAGACGAGAAATTTTGCCGAGTGCACCTGCACACACCTCACTCAGTTCACTCTCCTCGTGGTGAGTAGAGGGTTAATTAATTAATCAAAATAGTTTCGTGATGTGAGTTTATCCCTCTTTGGCAGTTTTTACACTCTTCATGTGTAAACCCTTTGTGCTCATATGCAGTTTTAACTCTTTTCTTACATGCCAATTACCGTTTTTATTGATCACCATTTAACCTTTTTCACACCAACTGTTCATGTGTGTCGGTTTAACCCCTTTCCTCCAGGATTTGACACCCGGGCCCCCAACGACAGTGGCACCGACAGTAGAGAGAGAAGAGGAGGAAGACGATAGTATTGAGGATGTGTCCTATGTGGGCGGTCTGGTCTGCATCGTGTTCCTGATCATCGTCATTGTCACCTACCTCCTTAGCAGGTGAGGTCTCTCTCTCCCTCTCTCTCTTGTCTTCAGGGGTTTGTCAGAAATTTCATAAGGGATGGATATACACGCATACGTAGGAAGATGCTGATAGTAAGAGAGGATCCCCACCCTTCATTTAGCACACAAGTTAAGAGCCGTGCGACCGAATGGAAAGGCTCTGTGCCTAGCAGTCTAGAGGAGCAATTTAAGTATATACCTGTTTTAAGTGCAAGAGAATACGTAGATGTAAATCCAAGCAGTAGCAGTACAGAGGCATTCATCAGAGAAATTACTTGTTTGCTGCCCCTCCTGCCATGCCTCGCCCAGTGTTCTGCGAAAGTCGTCAATGGGGGCGTCCCTCATCAACTCCTCAGTCTGTCTCTCTGCTCTCTTCATCTCTTACCTCGTCTCCTACTACGTCACCGAGGACGACTGGGCGTGCACCATCTTCTCCGCCATCTTCCACTACTCCTTCCTCGTGACCTCCATCTCCCTCCTCATACTGGCTCTGCTCAAGACACTGCAGCCTGAGAAACTGGGAAAAATCTTCCTCGTTCTCCTCCTTGTTCAATTCAGTGAGAATATACACCTCGATCTCTATAGCCCCTCACATCGTCTTGTTGCATTGTCTCTCTCTATTAACGGCTAACCAAAATTTGTGTATTTTGTTTTTGTCTTACTTAGTTTTTTTACCTCTAGCTTTTAATGTTTCTCTGTTCAGAAAGATGAAACACTTTCACTTTACATGAAAAATTAATGCGTCGTTTTGTTTTCTGTTCAGTTGTCCCCGCGGTTGTTGTGATCATATCGTCTGCTCCTGATGGAGACAACTACATCGATGAAGAATTGTAAGACAAAATCTCTCTCACTTTCAAAATCTATTGGTGCCCCCTGTCACTTTCATCTTTTCCACTTTCTGCACCCAATTATTTCCGTCCATACTTAACTTCTCCCCTCTCTCCCCCCACCCCACCCCATAGCTGTCGACCACAGAACGAACCATACTGGTACGGCCTTCTCTTGGTGGGCGGTCTCATCCACATGCTGGCTTGGCTCTTCCTATTTGCCGGGCTCTGCGTGGTTCACATCAGACGCGAAAAGATCAGCACTCAATGGTTTGAGGAATGGCTCGGGATTGCCCTAACCCTCGCCGTCTTTGAGCTGGCCTGGGGTTTCGGTCTCCCCTCCACAAACACCCTCGGTCTCGGAGCCTCGCGACTCGTCTTCCAGATCGTCTTTGTGGTCGGTTGCATCGCACTCGGAATCGTCGAATTGGTTTTCTTTGTTGTTCTCCTGCGCGAGCCGCGCGAGGTCTGGACGGGGCTGGTGAATCGCTGTATCCCCGGACGTTCCGGTGGGTTCGACACCTCTACCTATGGCATCAGCGTCGAGGAGAACCCGTACGTTGCCCGAGGGGAAGGAGGGAGCATGGAAATGAGCGGAGTTCCCCCGGCGAAGGCTGGCCTGAGAAACGATGACGAAGTCAGTGCCGCAAAGAGGAGCCCTGAAGCCAGCGCCATGACGGAGAAACTAAACGGGGAGGACCCTGAGGCAATTGTCAATCCCGCGGCGACAGAGCAGGACGATGAGGACGGCAGTCCGGAGATGGAGATAGAGGTAACCGAAGTGAAGATGGATCTCGGAATGTACGACGACGACGCTGACGCGGCCAAGGATACAAGGCTGTGATGACGAGCTTCTCCGGAAACTTCTAGAACACTGGACTCGATTTTCTCGCTGTATGCATGCATTTGCTGCTATAGTTCTTGTGTATAGATGTTGAGGCTTTAGGCTAGGCAGTAGAGTAGACTTGATGTGGTTAAAACCCAAATTTTGTAAGCCTTTTCATGCATCTCATTGTTTCGTAGCTCATAAAGTCGTGAAGAATGTTGCTGCAAGCGAGCGCCTCTTGAACGCACGATTGTGTGGTTTTAATGAAAAAAGGAAAATTAATGGATGGGAGGTCTACAATACAGCTAAATGAGAGGAGGTACATCAGAATCGTCTAATATTAGATTGTCACTCACTCCCTCTCTACTCTCAGTTGTGTCCAGTTCTTCTATCAGTGGTAGATTGGTCTGTGCATGTTCTAAACCTCCCCTGGTTTTCCGTGACCTTGCCTTCTCCTCCTCCTCTCCCTCCTCCTCTTGCTTGACAATGTTGCTGATATCGACGGTGTCAGTAGAACGAGACGGAGTTGACTGGCTCTGCTGTGGAGGGACAGAGGCTGAGCGCCTGCTGCTACAGCTCTGCGTGGAGCAGTGCTGGGGAGGGAGGTGAGGGGAGTGAGCCTCTGGCTTCTTCCTCGGTGGATGCCGGGGCCTTGCTGCCTTCACAATTTCTCTTGCCTAAAAATGGTAATGTTGATAACACGTGTGTACAATAGACACTGTACAAATGACCCCTCGCCACAGTATTAATTATTGCCCCTTAAAATTTGGTCGCCTCGCTCAAACGTCCAAGGATTTTCCCACCAACTCGCTTCAAAACTTTAACCTTTCCTTGCTTGGTGCGGAGTCAAGCTTTTACTGTTAGTGTGCATTACAGTCTCCAGGAATAGGGGGGAGAGAGAGAGAGAGAGAGAGAGAGAGTAGTACACCTTTGGGAGAGTGAGCATGAGATGTCCGGAGGTCTGTGATCTCTGTGCACAGCTTCTGTCTGAAGACACCTCCTCATCCAACACCAGCTGAAGAACCTACTATATATACCACCAGGCAATACTGACAATGGTCACATTGTTTGTATGCATGGAGAGGGTGCCCTGACCTTGCCTTTGATCTTGAGTCTAACGTACTTTGGCTGGACATCGCAGTCCACAAGACTTGTATCCATATACCTGGGTATAATAATAATATACCGCACACACGTACACGCACGCCACAATTACGACAGCATCTTTTGGAATCTACACCGTGCATCTACGGGGGGTAACCCTGTGAAAAAGAGACAACATTGAAAGCGTCAGACGTGTCCTTTGGGAAGAGCCAAGTCCTTTTTCAGGGGTTCTCAGTATGTGCAGTACATGTAACATACCTAGGGATGGCCACCTCTAAGACGAATTGATTGTTCTCGTCATCATCCCTCAACTGAAAGTCGTACCTACATACACACCACAATACAGCAATACTTCAAATGGGCACATTGATCACAGACCTAAAATTCTGGCAGACATAACTCCTAGTGTATACCACACTAGGAGTTAAAGATAAGCGAAGAGGAGAAAGAATGCTCTAACCCATTATACTAGAGGGGTTATTTTCTGCAACATTAAAGTCGCTGCAACAATGTTGTCCAGTGTGTGTATGTAAGAATAAAACAGAGGTATTTATCGTGATGTTGGACCTTGCTTCGTTGACGTTGAGCATCTTCCCGTCCCTCTCTAGTCTCACTGTCTCTTGTGGGGCTGCAGACCTCTGTTGCAGAGCACCATTAGAGAGAATAGACATAGGGAGAAAGTGCACCATATAGAAAGAGGGAAAGACAATAGCAAGAAGGAGAGAAGGAGAATATCAAGAGAGAGAGAAAACATCTCAGGTGATCGGCTAAAGATGGATCCGTACGTACTCTGGTGATTTCGCCGTCTCCTTCCTCTTCTCCGCCATGTACTGGTGGACCTCGGTCCGAGACTCAGGCGTGTAGGCCGTCGGCTCATTCCAGAACCTGACATGGGAACATGCCCCACCAGTGAGAGAGAGGGGAGGGGTCTGGTTGAACTGTCTTACTCATCATCCTCTTCTTGAGCCGACTGACCACTCTCTATCTCCTTACTCTGCCCACTAAACAAATGCACACACCACTAGTTTAGAGGTTGCAAATTGCAAAATTTAGCACCAAAATTTCATATAGTAGTTTCACACGAGAGGACTATGAATCGCTATAGCGATAGATAGGTAATAGTGCACTCTGCTGTGATATATACACTAGTTTTTACATGCGTCACCTACGAAGTCGAAAGACAAACGCACAACAAAAATGTCAACCATAATTATTAAGTACCCATGACTTCATGAAATTGAGAATGACAGGCATGAAGCTGTGCGGCGAAAGCTCTGAGGGGTGTAGAGTAAAGAGGTCCATCCATACCTGTCTCTGTGCTGCCGTGTGTGTGAGTCGGTGTCCGTGTACCAGCGACCATCGAATCCTGGCTCAGACTTTCTTTCTCTCTCTCCTTCTCTCCCTGGCTCCCCGCCTCCTGCTTCTCTCTATGCTCCCTCTTCTCTCTCTCCTGAACCATTACATTCACCCACAAACACAAAATTATTGTACTGAGTGGGCATCACAATACGGTTGTTACACCAACTAACAATCACGAATACAGCCTTGTTTCTAATAGACGAAAGGTGGTGCTTCTGCCGTAACACAGCCTCTACTATGATAAGATGCACTGGTTTACGTAAGAATGCGGGGCAGTAAGTTAATGTGTATGTAACTCTGTGAACAAGACCTCAATAACCTTACCCTCTTTGCCTGGTAGGCCTTCTGCTGGTGTACTATCCTCTCCCTCAGCTCTTGGTAGTGCTGCAAGCAAAATCTAATGTATTAGCGAGGTTCGCAGTTCTGGATAGTTGTCTTTAGTCCCTAACCCCTCAATTCTTGGCGACTTTTTTTGCAAATATTCGGTGCTAATGTACATATCCATAGACAAGAGCTAAGTGCTTGAGAGAGATTGTCTGTACCTGCTTGGCCAGAATCTTCTCAGATTTTGAAACCTCCTTCCCGTCCAGCCACTGGAGTCTTGGTAGAGTGGCCACCACAAACTGTCTGTATCCCTCATAGTCAGTACACGGGTTCCCTGTCAGGTAGCTGCATGTAATGGTGAGAGGATGATGGGAGAGAGACAAGGAATGAAGGACTAATGGAGAGAGGAAGACTAGATGGAAGGGGAGCAATGAGGGAGAGAGAGAGAGAGAGAGAGAGGAAGGGGGCAGTGAGGGAGGTAGAATGTTTGGACAGAGAGTGAGGCAGGGAGGGAGGGAGGACTAATGGAGAGAGGAAGACTAGAAGGAAGGGGAGCAGTGAGGGAGAGAGAGAGGAAGGAGGCAGTGAGGGAGATGGAATGAGAGTGAGGCAGGGAGGGAGGGAGGGAGGATTCATAACAAACAGTTCTCTGAAGTGGTGGTTTGCCTGCAGAGTCTCCACACTGAGTAGGTCACCTACAAAGTTCACAGTCAGGTCGAGTTTGTTCATAAACTCACAACCTGCAGACAAAGAAGACGAAACACAACTCTGCTATATACGACTAACTGGTGAAGTTTATGCATCTATAATGGACACATGAAGTAGAAATGGACGAGAGGTTTCATACCTTCGAGATTTTCAATCTTCTCCACGTTGTTGAGAGCTAGGTTTAGGTACTCCAGCTGTTTTAGTCGACCAACATTCTCTTCAAGATTGAGCAAAAAGAGAGAAAAACGAATGAGCGACAGAGAACAAAGTAGATTGCGAAAAAGAGAGAAACAAATGAGAGAGAGAGACAGTCGGTGAAGAAAGAGCTGTGAAGTGTCTACCAATTTTCGGGATGAGGTTGTTCTGGAGGTAAAGAATCTTGAGGTTCCGACACCACCTGTCCAAGTGCTCGATCCTGCGGACAACAAACACAGTCACTGAATCAGACGGCGCAGTTAGCTGCCCCCCTGGCCGTTTGTACTTCTCTATCTCCTGCTGGTGGAGCGAGAGCTCTTCCAGCGATGCGATGTCGCCCTCGTTGTGCTCGGCGCGGCGACGAACAAGGTCTTCTGTTACTGCACGGAGCAAAAGGGGGCGGCTGACGCGTCCGTTTCAGCTAGCCTAGCGCCTGGAAACTTACTGCGAGGCATTGTCTGCCCAGAGGATAGAGTCTACTACGCACTGAGGGGAACCAATATTGCTTGAGGATAAGTTTCTCGGCTTCCGAGAGAGCAGAACGTGCCTCGAGCAGAGTTCGTTTAGTAGTTGTTCAGTAACTCGTGGCAACAGCTGGCGCCCGTAGCAAAGGGGTTAAATTTCCCAAGTGGGCTCGTAGTGGGCTCGTAGTGGGCGTGGTTTTAAACGGTGAAAGTTCACAACGGAGCGAGAGAACACGGAAGATGTCGACGTCTACGTCCGGCGACACTAAAGCAGTGGTTCGCCGTGCTCAGGCAGGAGCCGTGGTGAGCGCCTCCACATCCTCCACCAGGAAGAGACCGCCGAAAGCGGCGCTGGAGGAAGACGAATTCACTGACGTAAGAATGACGTTGGGACCCAAGCCATTCACACCACTCTCTCTGTAACACACAGGCCCTGACGAAGATAGTGAGGCGGGATTTCTTCCCCGACATAACCAAACTGGAGGCTCAGTTGGAGTTCATTGAAGCCTCAGAGACCAACGACTATGAGCGACTCAGAGCCATCTCAGAGAGATTTCCCACCGCCATTCGCACCCCTAACCCAAGTGGTGAGTCAGACAAATAACACACCTCATGATTTATGCTCTAGGACAAAATCGTACTTCACAAAAAAACCTTCATTGGCGATTTAACTGAAGTGCAGCATGTGTAAACCTGACATTTACCACATTTAAACCGTGCTATGTATAATTATTTCCCCCCTCCCCTCTCCCCTCTCCCCTCTCTCCCCTATCTCCTCTCTCCCCTGTCTCCCCTCTCCCCCTCTCCCCTCTCTCTCTATTCCTCTACCGTAGCTGCCCCAGCAGCCACTCCGTCGACATTTGAGACACCTCTCCACACAGCAACACCGCGAGGTACCGGAACCCACTCCTCCTCCTCCACGGCAGAGGGACGACGCTCAGCTACGACCGGACAAGAAGAGGCTCCGGACGCAAAGAAACAGCAGCGTCCCGAAGACTACACTCTCGACAAGTTTTTCTCCAAGTTTGAAAGCGAGGACGATGCGTCGTTCTCTGATATAATGGAGAAGGCGAAAGCCCAGCGCAGGGCCAAGCACGCCTGGGTGTATGAGAAGGAACAAGAGTATCGTCACAGTCTGGCCGCTCCTGAACCAACACTGGCCATTACCGACGGAACCGAGGGAGGGGGGGAGGGTGAGGGGACCGGTAAGGCTCTGGTGGCGGTTTCCGAACCAGAGAGAAGCGGCGTAAAAAGCTGGACATACACGGCAAAGAACTCGCTCATGTACATCCCGGATGGACTGGAGAGAAGCACACTGGAACAGATATCAGAACCGGACAAGAGGAGAGAGGTGGTTCATTCTAACACGAGACTATCGGGGGCCTTTCTCCGCCGTCTACACGGAGCAGCGAGGGAGATGGGGGCAGGGGAAGGAGAGGGAGGAGGGATAAGTCGAGATAAAGTCGGTGTGGATGGGAAGGTACTTGACCCAACTGCTTCCCCACAGGTCAATGGATATGGATTTGTAGCCACTCCTCAAATACAACCAGGTATGGAAATTCCTTGATCATTACATCGTCTCTAAAAATGATGTAATGTCTTTGGTTTGTTAGGTGTTGATGCCTCTCCGCTGATGACGTGGGGGTCGATAGGGGGAACCCCTGTTCATTTGGACACTGACGTGGTCCCGGGGCCTGGTCCGACGTTCAAAATCCCGACAGTCCCACGTCGCGAGGAGCTGGCTCACCAACTGGCCGACAAGGCTACCAAGTCCACCAGGGAGAGGAGAAAGGCGGCTGCAGTGGCTGCAAGGTAAGGCGCAATATGCATGCACCACGCTGTAGTAAGTAATGCCGCATTACCTACCGCATGGTGCATGCATCTTAAAGTATATTATAGGGATTGCTTTCTATAAGGTGAACTCATGCATGAGTTACACTCCAGTAGCAGTAGTATAATGTAGTGGAAGAACACTTAGAAAACATCTGCTGAGTGGCAAACCTCCACCTCCCCAAAATAATGACTTAGTTTCGATCAAATTGTACAATTTATCTCTCTATCTATATACAAATGTGTCTTTGAGAAACTCATTATCTTTTCTCTGTCAGCCCTGCACTGTTGAGAAGGAGACTGGGCACGCCATCGACTCCCTCAGAGAGACTCCAACTGCTCTCTCCGGCCGCTCGCAAACTCGTCTCGCGAGCTGCCACCCCAGGCAGTGCCAGAGGTGTGGACAGAGAACTTCGACGGAGCTACACACCCCAGCAGAGTAGTCGCACCCCGTCCTCTACTCCAACCTCTACCCCACGACCACACTCCGCCAGGTCAACTCCGAGACTGGGCAGTAGGAGTGAAGAGAGTAGCACACCGTCTCTTACGGACAATCTACTTGATCTAAAAAACAGATGATGATCCTTTTCACGACTCCTTGCCAACCTCCACGTTGCGCATGCGTAACAAAATAAAGGCGTGGCACTGTCGAACGTGCTGCTACTCGTACTCTGCCTAGAAGAATCGTGATCATGGGAGCAAATCTATCGTACCCTGTGGTGGATCTGGGCGGGAAAGTGGCGCTGGTGACGGGCGCCAACACGGGCATCGGGTACGAGACGGCCAAAGCCCTGGCAGGCATGGGGGCCCACACCTTCGTCACCTGTCGCTCGCAGGATAAAGCCGCCGCAGTAAGTACAGTCACTAGCGAGTACCTCAAACTTCACTTGCAGCAAAGTAGAACATGTAATATGATGCGCGTGTTGCCTTAGACTTGCTATACGCGGTGCAAATGTGTTGCTTGCAACGTGTTTCATGCGACAAGGTTTCTTGAGGATGATTACAGCTAGCATTTGCTGTACCGCAGTGCGTGGAAAGTCTAAAGACGGATCTGTCGAAGGAGAAGGAAGGGTTGGAGGCGAGCGTGGAGGGACTAGCCCTGGAACTTGGGTCGCTACGCTCAGCCCGGGACTGTGCAGACGCCTTCAAGGCAAAGAACCTTCCCTTGCACCTCCTGGTCAACAATGCTGGAGTCCTAACTGAACAACTTTGTGAGTGTGAACGATACTCTAACGTTCCGAGGTAACTGAAACCGATGTGCTTTCCCACCCCACAGCTAAAACAGACGACAACCACGAGTCAATGTATCAGGTATTTACTGACATTGTACATATGAGACACCATTTTTAGCACAGTGTTTTTCAGGTGAACCACCTGAGTCCATTTCTGCTGACCCTGGAGCTCCTCCCGAAACTGCTGGAGACAGTGGGCGGGGCAGAGGGAGGAGGGGAGGGCCGTGTGGTGTGGGTGGCATCTGTGGCTCACGAGGAAGGTCGCTGGAATCCCGACAACCTCGACGCCGAGGTCTCCTTCAACTCACAGACCTTCTACAGGAACTCCAAGCTCTATAATGTGAGTATATACTACGTATGTGGCTACACTGTCTTTCCCTGTGTAGCATTGTATCATGCTATTCATGAGACAAATGTAGCAATGTATTTGCTGTTTCTTTCCAACGAGATGACAAGGAATTCGTTAACAATTTGTCTCTTGGTATATTGCATAATGCAAATGCCTAGATAGGGGTGGGGTTATCTGACTGGAATTTTCTCTAGGTGATGACATCATTCAGTATACAGAGGAGACTGAAGGACACAGGAATAACAGTGTCTTCTCTCCACCCTGGAGTGGTCAGTCATTTCTGACTCCGCCGCCACGTTCGTTTGTTTGTTTTTCATTCACTCTTTGTTTGTGTCCTGCCAGATCAAGAGTGACCTATGGAGACATATGGCCGACAGCAGAAACCTCGTGCACAACCTCTTTTCAAAGATCGGACCATGTGAATAGTACAGTAGAACATCAGAGTAAAGGATACACTGGGACAGTGAAACCTATATAATATACTGAGGTGTCCTTGAAGGGGGAATTTTAAAACTTAATTATAGCTACGCTTGCACTGGACTCCATTGTTTAGTTCTATCTTTAGTGACTTTTCTTAATAATTTAGCCCTTATAATGTTGCCACATTCCCTTCAATCGATTCCCTTGCCCCATATGAATGGGCTGTGTTGCATTTTCCTGCCTGTGTGTAGATTTCATGCGTAGTGTGAAGGAAGGAGCGGCCACCACCATCAACTGTGCAGTGAACCCTGAGCTAAACAGTGGCCAGTGTTTCTACTATTCTGACTGCTCCCCTACACAGCCCACTGTAATTGCCAGGTAAGACCCATACATCTCAGCATCTACCTGTACACCATGCCCTACATACTAATGACTAATAACTCTGTGTATAATATATAAGCCATCATGAATATTTCCGTACTACACGTGTGAGCCCTTTGCAAACGCTATGAATTGCCTCGTTTTACTCATCGTCATTCTTCCATAATAGGAATGAGCAATGTCAGGAGGAGTTATGGGATATCAGTATCAAAGCCATACGACAGTACCTCTCTCCTGAGGTGTTGGAGAAATACGGAGCTGCCCGTCCTCCTACTAGCAACAGCAGTGGTAGTGTTGCTGTAGAGGAGGGGAGCTCACGATTACCTGTCGCTGGAGTTGAGACTACAGCACCAGTAACAGTAGATGGAGAAAGAGGAGAGGAAGGAGGGGGAGAAGGGGAAGTAGAAGAAAGGGAGGAAGGAGGAGAGGGAGAAGGAGGGGAAGAAGAACAGAGCACGTCCCTTGAGCCTTCCACTGGCGATGCCGATGACACTGAAAAATGACCAAATATTATTGTAGCATAATATATAGTGGTTTTTAAACTGTGTGTGTCTATCTCAGTCTTCTGGATGTGTAAGTTTCACGGAACAGACGACATGTTTTGAGCGCATCCAGCTGTACGAGTTGTCCAATTTAAACACATCTAATGTCGGGATCACAAGAGACAATAAGTGCAAGAAACACGGGGTTTATTTCTGCTCACATTTTCCAGTCTTTTCGCATGTGTGGCTCCCAGTTACTAGGTAGAGATGACTGTTCACTCGGCTCAGTGGGACCTGTAGGAAAGACTAATTTCATTGTTCTCCCCCCAAAACAGAGATCCATGCTGCATGGCTTGCAAAGCTCACGATCTCCAGTGGAGGGTTCAGCCCATCTTCCAGGGTCAAGCCAAAGGCAATGTCATATTCAAGTGACTGAATCTCCCACTTGAGTATGGTGGCTGGTTTCTCCACTTGGTAGGACACAGTGTGAGATTTGTTCCTCCACACCCCAAGATGTACCCTCTCTGCCTCCTCCTCTCCCCTCTCTAACTCCCGACGAAAGTAGTACTCTTCCGGAACAAGACGGCCCGTGTTGATCTGGTAATGTTTGTAAGGCCTTGGGGCTGTTTGTTGGATATTATGCTCACGTATTTGGTGCAGTAAGGATCTGGCTCGTATCTGGTGCCTCCGTAAGCTGCTGGTAATTGGTCCGGACTGATGTACTTCTTTAACTCATCCAAATCTGTGAGCATAGTTAATTATACATGCACAGTGAGGTGTCCTAAGACATTCTGACCTACCGCACAATAAGGTTATCTTATTCCTCGTCTTGTCATCCATGAACTTCTCCACAAGTCTAAAGAATTGGTTGTACATCCCTCTCGAAGGAACTAGAAAAAAATTAACATCAACTTTTTAATCTTCCACGGGGCTGAATAGACAAACTATTTATAAGTAGAATCTCCCCCGTTGTATCAGGATAGTTGGGCTCCAGCATCGTGATAACCTGAAAAAATATTCAGAACTCTCCCCAGAGCTCGAGATCCATAATTGGTTTCTCACTCACCTCTATAATGTACCTGATGCCAGGCCAGTAGAACTGCCGAGTTAGTGAGAGGTTCTTCAGGTCTATGACCATCACAAATGTCTCTATGTGCTTCCCTCTCTGCAGAAGAATAGCTATATACGTGCATCTGTATAGTACACCACGGTGCACAGAATCTTACTCAGTAGAATTATAACCTCTCTGTAAAGGACACTTGTTTTCGGATCAGGATCTTGAATAAGAACAACTTTGGTGTCCTTGTTCAGAGGTTCTACTCTAGTACTATATATATAGGTATCAAAAGCACACCAAGCAGTTGGCTGCAGTACGGTAGAGCTGGACCTACTATCAACGTGATATCCATCAATCTCTCCATCGTGTAACTATCTATAAGCATGCACTAGTCTAGCCTAGAGCACTAACTCTGGCTGATGATTCTTCACAGAGCTTGACCAGTTGCTCTCCCTGGTGGAACTTGTACTTCATAAATTCATCTCTTTTCACCGAATGATACAAACCTGAAATGAACACACAACAGTCGAGATTCCACCACTTGAAAGGGCACGTCAAGCGATTCAGCACCTTTGGCGTCGAGATTTCCAAAGTTGTCGTACCATACTGGGTGGCCTTCTCTGTCTTCTCCAAAGAAACCTCCAGGGAAGCACTCCTTCAAGACCTGCATGAGTCACGGCCATGTAGCTGTGCATTTGAGTTGCTTGAATTGTCCAATTGGCTGGGGTCAATATGTTAGAGGTATATAGCTACCACACTTACTGGTGGAGGGTCGTACTCCTCTAGTAGAGTGTCAACTTGCAATCTTCTTCGCACTCCCAGGCTCTACAACATAATATAGGGAATAGCGTACACCTATCAGTGTCAGCGTGCTGACGGAGCCAACTATATACCGCTTTGATCATGGATTGCGCTAGGTTGACATTGAAATTGCGTATCCTGAGAAAGCGGAGGAAGTAGTAGTCATCCTTGTCGGTTAGTTCCTCCAGGTCCTTCAGTTTCTCTCTCAACTGTATAGGAAAAGGGCCCGGGTACGCCCCCGTATAGTACGACCAGCTAGCTAATCTACTCCGTGTAATCACAGATAAATTTATCTATGGTGTAATTTGGAGCCTTTGAGCTAACCGATCTCAGAGCTTCTTCCTGGGCTGGAGTAACACTGGGCTCCCCGCTGTGCCAACTCATCCTTTTCTGCTCCTCGGGCGAGCCTATTGCAGAGGCACAATTCACCTCACCAATCGAGCTGCGCAGCAATGAGAAATCGCACCCTCAGCGCATGCGCAGTGGGACCAGCGTAACGGCTAGCGCTAGTGAATATTAATTTAGCTATAATTATATATATGATTATATATATATGAATCCTATGATGCAGTGTTTTCTGAGAGGTCTGACTCTGGAGGGATGACTTTCACAGAATAGAACACTTCCTTTGAGCGAACCCAGCTGAACGAGTTGTCAAACTTCAACACATCGGTATATCGCAAAGAAACTCAGGCCTACCGACACAGAAACAATGGCGAGAAAGAGCGAGACAAGCTGGATAATATATAGCTCAAGGGCAAACCTTAGCAGGAGAATCTCTGCCGAGTTTCAGCATCAGTTCTGTTCGGTACAAGGTACAGAGAACAATATCTTCATTCCTTACTGAATAGTGTAGACCTAAAACACACGCAACAAGACAAACAGGTTAAAGACGCAACTGTCAGGATTACATTGGCAATTATAAACAAACTAACCCACCTTTAAAATCATAATTGAAGTTGTCGTACCACACTGGGTGGCCATCTCTGTCCTCTCCCATTGCACCTCCAGGGAAATACTTCTCCAGTACCTGGAGATAAAGGAGATGAATGGTTGAAATATCTGTCAAGTTCTCTTGCAGTGGATGTTCGACCTCATTCGGCTTGTAGTCAGTGAGAATCGTGTCCAGTTTGTATTTCTTCCTCGTCTCAATGTGCTAATGATGAAATACAGGAAATCACACATTATACCCATTATACACGTAGCTAACACCTTCCTAAGCATGTCTTCTGCCTTGGCTAAGTGGAACTTGCGAGCCTTCAGCCATCTCAAGAAGTAGCGGTCGTCCATCCCCGCCAACTCCTCCACGTCCGCCACTGCACTCTTCAACTGGGGGGGCCAAGAAAACCCACCATCAGTGTCAAGGGTCAGAGCGAGCTAGCTAGCTGCCAAAAGGCGGTCGCTCTCACATTTTCCAACGCATCCCATTGCTCAGGGGTCAAGTCTTCTACCTGGCTACTCATGATGCTACGAAATCCGACTCCAAAGGTGAAATAAAACAAGGGACTGACTTCCCAATACTATACTACCAACATTTAATTCCCCACGCATGATTTTGCGCATGCGCATTTATGGACGGACGTAATGTTTGTGGCAGACAAAAACTGAACTTCAAGTGATTTCAAATACCGAGGGTGTTTACTAACTTGTAGTTATTGTTTTTGATGAAGACAAATCATAGTGCATCTCTGTTCTTTTTCCTGCACATAAACTATCTCTATTCACGTGTACTTCATTCTCTCTGCCTTTCGGCTTCCATTGCAAAACATTGGGACATTGGATGCACACCGTCTAGGCATTCGTACAAAACTGATTAAAAGCACCCACGCATGAAAATGTGACTTTCTATATGATTTTAAGGGAGCATGGATTCCGTCTCTGGAGGGATGACTTTCACAGAATAGAACACTTCCTTTGAGCGAACCCAGCTGAACGAGTTGTCAAACTTCAACACATCTGTGTGATTGAAATTCGGGCATTATCCACTCATTAACGCAGCCAATGAATTCCTCACATTCTCCTGGACTCTCACAAATGTGTGCTCCACTCTCAGGAATGATGTGACTCTTCTTTCTCTTCAGTGGAACCTGTGTCATAACGATTATTATCAAGTCCACTTTGTCGTGAGCTATATAATAGTCTTACTACTTCTTTCTCTCCCTCCTCCTGCTTGTGTGACCACCCATACCCAATGTCGTGATCAGTGCTCATAAACTCCCACCTGCAACCACACATAAAACTCTTCTCAAAGGACACCCCTTAAATCAGGACACCTCTAGAAATCTATTTTCCCAAGAACAGTTTCCCCCCAAAACAGTTTTGTATATATGCAATTTCCCCCAGAAAAAGGGCACATCACTAGTATGCACATGCACTTTCCTCTGTCCCACAGGTATATATCCAGATTAGAGGGGTTCACTGTATAACAGACAGGTTTTTTCTAACTTGAGTATGCTTCCAGGTTTCTCCACTTGGAATGGAACGAGGTGGGTGGAGCCTCTCGCGACAGTCACGCTCTCCATCTCGTTCTTTTCCTTCTCCATCAGATTCATGAGGTAGTACTCCTCTGGTACATCACCTCCTGGGTTTATCTAAGCAATAATAACCTGCTCAATCACTAACTACGGTACAGTAGTACTTAGTATATAGGGATGGGCACGGTATATACCTAGCATCATAGATGTATGGGCCTATGATATATAGGGAGTTTTAACAGACTCTGAGTTTTAAAATACCCACGTATTTGGTGCAGTAAGGGTCTGGTTCACATCTGGTGCCTCCGTAAGCTGCTGGTAGCTGATCTGGACTGATGTACTTTTGCAGAACCTCTTTGTAATCTCCTATAGTAAACAGAATCTGTTCATAATGCTTCTCCTGGATTTGTGATTACATAGTATTATATAAAACTCTTAATCTGCTACATACCTCCCAGCATGTGTATCTTTGCTCTGGTTTCTTCGCGGAGGACCGACTTGAAAAGATTGAAGCAGAGTGGGAAAATGGACGGCACTGTATGTGGGTAGTAGTTTCAACCTGTTAGATATACACAGAATGCTTTTCTAAACTCCTTACAGTTTATCAAAAATGCTTGCTTTGTTGCCTCCGGATAGTTTGCCTCGCATACTGCAAGTATCTGAAGAACATATATAGTAAGGCAAGGTGGCATATATTATCTCTGAACACCTTTCTGATCATCTGTATTCCTGGCCAGTAGTAGTGCCTCTGTAGTGAGAGCTTCTCATAGTCAATGACAAATGTGACCAGCTCTTCCTAAAACAATGAAAAACAATATCACACGCATGTTTAAAAGAGGTATATCGCAAAGAAACTCAGGCCTACCGACACAGAAACAATGGCGAGAAAGAGCGAGACAAGCTGGATAATATATAGCTCAAGGGCAAACCTTAGCAGGAGAATCTCTGCCGAGTTTCAGCATCAGTTCTGTTCGGTACAAGGTACAGAGAACAATATCTTCATTCCTTACTGAATAGTGTAGACCTAAAACACACGCAACAAGACAAACAGGTTAAAGACGCAACTGTCAGGATTACATTGGCAATTATAAACAAACTAACCCACCTTTGAAATCATAATTGAAGTTGTCGTACCACACTGGGTGGCCATCTCTGTCCTCTCCCATTGCACCTCCAGGGAAATACTTCTCCAGTACCTGGAGATAAAGGAGATGAATGGTTGAAATATCTGTCAAGTTCTCTTGCAGTGGATGTTCGACCTCATTCGGCTTGTAGTCAGTGAGAATCGTGTCCAGTTTGTATTTCTTCCTCGTCTCAATGTGCTAATGATGAAATACAGGAAATCACACATTATACCCATTATACACGTAGCTAACACCTTCCTAAGCATGTCTTCTGCCTTGGCTAAGTGGAACTTGCGAGCCTTCAGCCATCTCAAGAAGTAGCGGTCGTCCATCCCCGCCAACTCCTCCACGTCCGCCACTGCACTCTTCAACTGGGGGGGCCAAGAAAACCCACCATCAGTGTGAAGGGTCAGAGCGAGCTAGCTAGCTGCCAAAAGGCGGTCGCTCTCACATTTTCCAACGCATCCCATTGCTCAGGGGTCAAGTCTTCTACCTGGCTACTCATGATGCTACGAAATCCGACTCCAAAGGTGAAACAAGGGACTGACTTCCCAATACTATACTACCAACATTTAATTCCCCACGCATGATTTTGCGCATGCGCACTTATGGACGGACGTAATTTAATTTGTGGCAGACAAAAACTGAACTTCAAGTGATTTCAAATACCGAGAGGGTGTTTACCAACTTGTAGTTATTGTTTTTGATGAAGACAAATCATAGTGCATCTCTGTTCTTTTTCCTGCACATAAACTATCTCTATTCACGTGTACTTCATTCTCTCTGCCTTTCGGCTTCCATTGCAAACATTGGGACATTGGATGCGCACCGTCTAGGCATTCGTACAAAACTGATTAAAAGCACCCACGCATGAAAATGTGACTTTCTATATGATTTTAAGGGAGCATGGATTCCGTCTCTGGAGGGATGACTTTCACAGAATAGAACACTTCCTTTGAGCGAACCCAGCTGAACGAGTTGTCAAACTTCAACACATCTGTGTGATTGAAATTCGGGCATTATCCACTCATTAACGCAGCCAATGAATTCCTCACATTCTCCTGGACTCTCACAAATGTGTGCTCCACTCTCAGGAATGATGTGACTCTTCTTTCTCTTCAGTGGAACCTGTGTCATAACGATTATTATCAAGTCCACTTTGTCGTGAGCATAATAGTCTTACTACTTCCTTCTCTCCCTCCTCCTGCTTGTGTGACCACCCATACCCAATGTCGTGATCAGTGCTCATAAACTCCCACCTGTAAATTTATAGCCAAGCATACACAAATATTCTGACGGTCCCTGCAAATATTTGGCTCGCTATCTCTAACTTTAGAATGGTTCCGGGTTTCGCCACATCGAATGGAACGAGGCGGGTGGAGCCTCTCCCGATAGTCACTCTCTCCATCTCGTTCTTGTCAGTTTCCATCACATTCACCAAGTAGTAATTCTCCGGAATGTCCCCTCCTGGGTTCACCTGCCAGTCATCAGTTTTTCCGTCAAATTCAAAACACGAACTCTGTCTGAAAATACCCACGTATTTGGTGCAGTAAGGGTCTGGTTCACATCTGGTGCCTCCGTAAGCTGCTGGTAGCTGATCTGGACTGATGTACTTTTGCAGAACCTCTTTGTAATCTCCTGTATCAAACACAGATGGTCATGTAAATCAAACAGCTAATGCTTTCATTATACTACTGTGTTCCATTACACATTACAATGATTGAGAACCAAAGTCCAATCAGCAATAAACTTCAAACTTCATCAAAATGTGTTTCAGAAAGTGACAAACTTTTCTAGGAATCCCAGAATACACCACCTCTCAGTCTGTTCTTGACTCATACCTCCTAACAGGTGTATCTTGGTTCTGGTCTCTTCACTCAGAGCTTGCTTTATGAGATTGAAACCCATTGGAAAGAGAGCCGGCACTGCAGACAGACACTATTCTCAAACACACACCCACACACACATACATACACACACGACAAAGTGTTTTCCCAAAGGCTTACAGTTTATCAAAAAGGCTCGCTTTACAACATCGGGGTAGTTTGCCTCGTTCATTGAAAGTATCTAGAGAGAAAAAAAACTACTCAAAACACTTCCCTAAAATAACACCACTATAAACCTTTCTGATCATCTGTATTCCTGGCCAGTAGTAGTGCCTCTGTAGTGAGAGCTTCTCATAGTCAATGACAAATGTGACCAGCTCTTCCTGAATGGGGCCAATTGTGGGGAAGCATGATAGCAAACACACCAGCAACAGTAGTTGTTCTGTTTTTAACTCCCTTGTAAGCAAGCAAAATGTAGTAAATCCTTTTTAGTGAACTTTCTTGGCCTATACTTCATTCATGATACCATATGAGCAGACCTTAGCAGTGGACTCTTTGCTCAGTTTTAGGACCAGCTCTGCACGGTATAACACACACAGAAAGATTTCCTCCAGCCTCACCGAGTAGTGGAGCCCTGAACATGTACAAAACAGGCAAGAGGTGAGACAGGTCTCATGAAAATCTGGAAGCAACACCTTTGAAATCATAGTTGAAGTTGTCGTACCACACCATGTGGCCACCTCTGTCCTCTCCCATTGCACCTCCAGGGAAATACTTCTCCAGTACCTGGAGATAAAGGAGATGAATGGTTGAAATAATCTGTCAAGTTCTCTTGCAGTGGATGTTTGACCTCATTCGGCTTGTAGTCAGTGAGAATCGTGTCCAGTTTGTATTTCTTCCTCGTCTCAATGTGCTAATGGTGAAATACAGGAAATGGTTAAACCTACATCACACATTATACACGTAGCTGGTGTTATGCAATCACCTTCCTAAGCATGTTTTCTGCCTTGGCCAAGTCGAACTTGCGCGCCCTCAGCCATCTCAGGAAATAGCGGTCGTCCTTCCCCACCAACTCCTCCACGCCCGCCACTGCACTCTTCAACTGGGGGGCCGAGTAACCAGCGAAAGGCATAGCTATGGCAACTGGCGCTACTAGACGTGAGCTAGGAATGAGGCGTCACCTTCTCGAGTGCGTCTTGTTGTTCAGAGGATAACTCCCCCACCTGGCCACTCATGACACTTGCCTCGCACACGACACGTTCCCCCAGACAGTCCTCCTTTAGCAATACTTTGACACTGGCGGCCACGCCTCCCCCTGCAACTTACACCTTCGTTCCGCACACCTCCTTTCACTTCCTGTTTAACAGGAAGTACAGTTTCGATTTGCGCGCTCATTCATGCGGCGGGATAAAAAGAATTTTACCAGAGAGATTACACATAGAGAGATGTTATGTTCGAGCAGCCTGCATGAGGTGTGTCTTGTACTCTTTGCTGAGGGCGGCTCTCCAGTACTGCAATATGGGGAGGTCTTCGTATCCAACATAGAGGATCTCGTGCAGCAGTTTGGTTAGCCTGTGGAGAAGACAGGTGATGTCACTGCATTCCGAGGAGTCATTGTTCTGACCTCTCATTTTTTTGTGGCATCTCCAAGTGACCCATCTGGGAAAACTTGTAGAGCACCTTCACCTTACTACAATGTATGTATTGAGATAATATATATTGGCAGTAAAGAAAGCAGGACATCCTAGTAAACCTTACTACATTACTGGTGATTGTGTTTACAGTATACTAAGCTGCATTCATTCAACTTCATTCTTATTGTGAAATCTGACTTAGTGCACTCGCGGTACTTGCTAGCCTTGGTTTCACTGCTAGTCACAGCTATACAGAGCAGTTGTTGAAGAGAGTGACTCACTTCATCCACTCCTCTTTGAGAGCAGAGAGACCGCCGGAGATGGTGGCATCAGAGAGCACCTCGCTGGAGAGCAGCGTCACCAGCCGGGTCAGGAACACTGAAGCTGAAGAAAACGCGCGTGTGGTGGAGGAAATAAAAGATCATCCCCAGTATACAGTGGATCAATCTTTATTGCAGTTTAAGCACTGAAAGCATGTAGCTTTTTCCGTGTAAGTTTGTGGGCGAGGATAGTGTATATTCTTACACGGAATCTGTGAATAGAAATCCTCTTGTTTTCCCACTGAATGATGCAGAGTGTCACTGCTAAAAGACACACAAACCTTTAGCCTCGCTGGTCTTTGAGTTGCTCTGAACCACCACCAGTCTGTACCCGCTGCACGGGTTCCCGTCCTCCCTCCCTCTCCCCTCCCCTTCGCCGAGTCTCAGCCCTGCCCAGACTCCGCCCACCACCCTCCCTGCGGCACCGAGGTGGAAGATCTCGACGACCACGTGGAGGTCAGACGAGGTCACATGTTTGGGGACCTCGGCCGAGGAGGAGAGTCCAAGAAAATTGCAGACAAACGGCTCCTTGTACGACTTGCTGAATGGAACTATCTGACAGCATTTCTCTGGCACGATATTCTGCAGATTAGCATGAAACCTTGGGTTATCAATCTCCCTACCAAATTTGTTTCTAATTCTTTAGAGAGACAAATATCCCTCTACAAAAGGTTTTACCATGGAATGTGGGTCTCATTGGTATTTTCCCCCCTCCTTTCTTCTCAAAGATATGGTATGTACTAACAAAGTCAATGTACCTTTAGTATGTTTATGAGTGATGTAACCAAGGAAACACTGTTGCCCCTGACGATGACTTGGTTTCCCTTGAGGATGTGGGTGGCGAGGTATTGGAATGAGGCCTTGTCCATCAAGTGGAACACTTGTTGTAGACTTCCTAACACACACACACCCTCCTCTGGAGACAGAGAGGAATTACATGAGGGGGGTGGCAAATCAAGGGGGGAGGGGGCATTTATTTCCAAGGGAACTTGCTCCCCTGCAACCTTCCAAACACACACACACCCTCCTCTGGAGACAGAGAGGAATTACATGAGCAAATCAAGGGGGGAGGGGGCATTTATTTCCAAGGGAACTTGCTCCCCTGCAACCTTCCAAACACACACACACCCTCCTCTGGAGACAGAGAGGATTACTGAGCAAATCAAGGGGAGACGGGCGGCATTTGATTATTGCATCAAGGGAACTTGCTCTCCTGCAACCTAGAAAAATCCTGATGGTGCAAGTTTGTTAAAGTTGGATACATACGTAACTTCTATGGTGTGCATACAATAGTAAGTCTATTGCTATGGACCCAGCCCACATAAGGCAACACTAACAGCCATGTATGTGCACGGTTGATTAGAGGAGATGAGAGGGGCCGACCTTCAACGACGCGGAAGTCGGCAGCTGAAAGTGGTCTCTCGAGAGCCTCGGGAGTCGAGGGGGCGGGGCCAGGCTGCTCTCCACTTGACTCTGGATCTGCCACTACCTGGATACCATAAGAACCTTTATCAATGAGTGACGGCAAAGACAAACAAAAAAGCAGAGGTATAAAATATCGCCCCAAAAATTGCACAGGCCTGGTATATAAATTTTCAGGGGTGGGGATATATATGGCACTGATTGTATATTACCCTCGGTGGGCCCTCCAGAACACACTCAGTGATCCTCAGACCGCCAGCCTTCAGGAGGAAGACAAAGTAGCGATGGAGGTGGCGAAAGATGCCGCCGTCTCCAGTCAGCTCCACGAGGGACCGCCCTGTCTCGTTGGCACGGATACGACGTAAATGATCTACAATCAACACAGCCAAAAACACAAGTGTCAGTAAAATAAAATTCCTGGCAAAGACTCCTTATGGGCAAAGAACGATCTTTTAGAGGTTGTAAAACCATAAGCAAGCCTCTTTGCAATGTTACACACAATGGCTACTTGGAGAGATAGAAAGAGGAGAGTTAGGTGACTAGTAATGCTCACCGAGGCCGTGGGTGCTGGAAACTGAGGACCTCAGTGAGCGAGATGTGTGCTGCTTTGACTCTTCCGTTTCACGACTGTATACACACTCTGCCTGGAGGGAGGGGGAGGGGGGAGAAAGAATGGAATAAGAGGAGAGAGAGAAAGAAGGGAAAAAGAGGAGAGAGAGAAAGTTTCGGTAGAGACCTCAAGCTTACAGGAACCACTCACCTTTCCCTGGAGGTCATCGATGAGTGCTCTGAAGTGTTTCACGAGGAATGGCCACGAGTTAATGAGGAACACTCTGTCCATCATCACCACCACAAGACTGTAGCTGCAGAGAGAAAACACATTAAGTGGGGACTGCACATTCAGTAATACATCTACTGTTTTATATATCACCCCCACTACCTTTGCACACTTCAAACAAATTGACAACTTTTGCAAGCACGTGAGCAAGTAAAATGACAAACCAACCATAATAACGTAGTCAGAGGGTGCAAAATCAATGCTTAATCAGAGGGTGCAATTAGCTAATAGTGCAAACCAGGCTCTTTCTTCTCCCTTAACGAGCCTGGGCACGGAGCTGAAATCTTTAAAAAACTGTCAACTCACAGTCGGCTGAAGCCGCGAGCCTGAGAATCCTTGATCTTGAAGGTGTAGGAGAGAACGTGCGAACTCCCGTCTTCACCAAATGCAATTGGCCCCTCTCTCCCCGGACAGACCTCGCAGTTGAGGCTGGTGGAAGACACACTCAGGTTAGGGGCTATAGCTATGTAGGGTACATAGTCACATGACTGATGACTGAAGACCATGTGACTCTAGCTGAATCATTACAAGTCACGTGACTGCAATCACATGACGGAGTGTAATAGCGGTTCAATTACCATCAAATATACAACTTTTAAGGTGTTTTTGTAAAAAAAGACACGCTATATACCCTCTGTCTCTCAGCTCATATTTACGTCATTCCCCACTCACCTCCTCACACAGGCCTGTCTCACCACACTGTACAACTGGGGCTGCTCGGGGTGCTGCTGGCTTATGTAGCAGATGTTGGCCTTGGTATCGTAGGAGACGAACCCCGCCTCGTCCGCAGGGATGGAACGACAAGCTTCGCACTGCTCCGACTTGGCCGGCGGGGCCTGGATCAGGGAGGAGACGGAGGAGACGGAGGAGGCGTCGGAGGCTCTACTGTCAGGGCTGGAATGGAGGGAGAGATACTAGTGAAGATTTGTAGGAAGGTTTGGATGTGGCTGACCAACCGGTCGGGGAGGGGGATCCGCTTGTCCGGCGGAACGGCGTCCATCATGAGCTGGGCATCGTGGGCACTGTGAAACGACTGCGAGAGAGAGAGACAGGGAACTAGGTGTTGGTTTCTTAGCTTCCTACGGGATTTACCTGAGTGCAGAACAGAATTGCTGGGCCGTGCGCCTCGCAGAAGTGACACAGAGCTACCACCGCGTTCATTTCTCGTCTCTCCCAGAATCACTGCTGATTCAGCAGTGTGTATATTGACCTCTCGACCGTTTGCGAACTGCTAGCCCCACCCACCTTTTATGTTAAGCGCGCACGAATAAGCGCAGGGTTGATAAAAGCATCGAAATTTTTTAGCTGGGAGATAGAGAGAGACGACGTAGCTAGCTACTACTAGAGCGCGCGTCGACCGACATGTACGGACTTCTCCTGGACACTATTCAGAAGTTCATTCGGGAGAAGTATGGGGAGAACTACTGGGCCAACATCAGAAGACGAGCCAAGCTCTCCAACCACTGGTTCGTCACTCATGAGGTAGGACGGGTGTTTGTGTCTTTCTTTCTCTGCCTCTAGTTACGGACCGGCTAACGAGCGAGCGAGCGAGCACTGCAGGAAACTATGTCGGATTCCTTACTGTTATTGTTTCGCAGTTTTAGCTTTTTCCCCTCGCCCATTGCACGGTGCTGGCTTACAGCGCACAGTGTGGAGGCGTAAAGGCAGATCCCCCATTGTATGTAGCAACTCTGCGAACTTTGCCGCTGGATGACGTTCAGGTAGTAAGTCTTTGACCTCTGGCGGTTTCGGCTTCCTGCACGCTATGGAGTCTCCATGCTATGAGATAATAGCTGGTATGGCATTGGGGGTATATATGTCTGGCATTTTGCAACAGTGTTGTGGGTCTGAGTCACACCCACGGCAGCTCTTTATCTGTGAATAAAGTGTGTCCTACATACAATTCATTGCTCTCACACATACCTCGCCCATGATTCATGGATACAGGGCTACCCAGAGAGTGTCATTCCAACCCTCGTCGATGCCGCCGCTGAAGAACTCGGCGAAGACAAAGACAACGTCATGATGATGTTCGGCGAGTACTTTGCCGAGAACATCGGTCGCTACGGTTACGCCCGTCTCCTCCGCGTGCTGGGTCGCGACCTCCGAGATTTCTTGAACGGCCTCGTGGACCTCCATGAGTACCTGCGATTCAGCTACCCCAACATGAGTCCGCCTGCATTCTTCACGGCCAACGAAACGCCAGAAGGACTCCACTTGCACTACGTCACAAAGAGGGAGGGGTTTCTCTGCTACGTCATAGGACAGATGAAAACAATCGGAAATATCTACGGGAAGCAACTGCAGATTAGCGTTATCTCGCAAGGCCAAACGGACAAGGGAGAGTACTACTACATCCTCGATCTAAAATTCGACAATCGGGCCATGCTCATGACGAGGCAAGCGAGCGTCGTGGGATTTGTTGACTTTCAGATCAGCTCGGAGACCTTCTTCAAGATGTTTCCGTTCAGTTTCATCTTCTCGAAGGAGCTGGTCATCTGTCGAGTTGGTCGCAAGTTGCAGGAGGTTCTCCCGGGCCTCTACGGAGAGGTGGTGTCCTCTGCCTTCACACTACTCAAACCCTACATGGCCGAACTCGACTGGGACTCGGTACGTCATACGTACGTACATGTTTTGCATTCTTTACCACTACATGATGTACAAGTGTCTACGTACATACATACATACTACATACATGTATTATCAGTGTGTACATTTTTCATGCAAGTATTATACTTCACACCACATTCACACAGATACACATCGTGCAAGTATTTTTAGTGCTCATGTGTACCACGATGTGGCAGACTGCTTCAAGTTACAGTGTCTGTAATACAAGGCGAGGGTAATGTTCCATTCTACTTGGGACATCCATTTGGAGCGCCGTTTAGAGCAATCCCCACTCCTCTGCTCTATTATTATTACTAGGAATGCACACACATTTGGCTTTGCGTTAGCTAAAGCGTGCATGCCAACCTGCTATGCTCAAGTCTTTGGCCAGCAGCTTTTCCGTACCCTTTTTCGCAAAAAGAGAGTTGCATTCGCGAAAGTTTTAGCTATACTTTCCGACCCTTTTTCGCAAAAAAAGTAGCTTTTTATATACGTGATTCACTGTGCATGGCCCTGAGACAAAGGCACAATAGCCCAGTTGGTACAGTATGTGAATTGTGCTAAAGTTAACGAATGCCCCCCTATCTCAAGAATGTGGTTGTGTACAGAGAGACCAGGTTAGAGGGAGTGAGAGGCAACATTAGATGTCTGGGAATACTTGTGGCTAACAGTGCGTGAATCTCGCAATGGGTGATGAATTATACCCGACAATTCCAGAGCCTAAGCTCTCGTTACCAGCCGTCAGCAGCTCGTGTTACTCTCCCATCGGCTGCCGGCTACGTTACGATAGTGTCCTAGAGTGCTCGGTGTATGACGCCACACCGGCTGTCGTGTTGTGAGCCAATGTTGGGCTAGTGGCAGATGCCCATTTGTAATCCTACAGAGGTATGTACACGTGGAATGCAGCACTCAACTGGGCAGAGCCTCCTTCATTAGTGCAACAATTAATGAAACACAGCTGCGGGCATGTCACATTCAATTCAGGTCCCAACCGTCCATTTGTATTTATCACTGACGAGTACCAAATTTTCGCGAAGATAAATTTTCCACCTATTGGCAGCTTTGAGCTTTCAATCCGTGTGTACAATTTTGATCTTCGCAGACAAGAGCTGCAAAAACACGATGTATAATAATATACGACCCTCAAACATTTGGCGCTATGCATACAATGTGTTTTCTTGCATGTATAATGGTGGGAGTGTCCCTCTTCAACTGATAATAGTTCCAGGTAACCCATCCCCAGTTTTCATTCTATGTGTGTATGTGTGTGTGTATGTGTGTGTGTGTGCCGTTTGCTGCAGATTCAGCTGCGGACAAACTGCACGTTTGAGCTACAGTCAGTCCGACAGGTCCAGTGCACCAACCAAGAACAGGAAGTGGGCGTGGTCCCCGAACAGGCTCCGCAACTCAAGCTGAAGGGGGAGATGATGCCGCTGGACGATCAGGAATACGTGGCCTTCCTCTGCTCCCCCGCGTTAGTGGCCCATTCCCATTCCACCAGTATTCCATGCCCAATACTGTGCAGTATGGACAGCCCCGAGGACCTGTATGAGAGCGGGATTTTCATAAGCGACCTCTCGCTCCACAACTGTAGCCGGGAGTTTATCATGGCTGGGTCTCAGAAACACCCCGAGCTTAACATTGCCTTCAGTCAGGTGCCTAGGAACACCTCTCTCTCTCTCTCTTTTCCTTCTTTCTCTCCTCTTCCTTCTCTCTCTCTCTCTTCCCTCTCTCTCCTCTTCCCCCCCTCTCTCTCTCTCCCTCCCTCCTCTACCTCTTTACCTTCTTCAATTCTCACTCTCTCTTACTGTACTACAATAGCTTTAGCAAACATTGCATCGTCGTGAGTGGTAAGTTTAAGTATCCAAGTTACACTTGAGGCATGTTCATAGTATGATGCAAGCCTCTGCCCTTGAAAGGTATGTATCCACGCAATCACTATCGGGTAGCTTTAGAGTAATACTTATTGACTCTCATTGTTAATTATTGAGAGACTCCTACTCGTTACGCTCCCAGGAGAGAATCAGGAGCGCACAGTTAGAGACGAGCATCAAGAAAACGGACGAACTCCTCTACCAGATGATTCCCAAGTCAATCGCTGACAAACTGCGCAGCGGGCAACCCCCGCTTAGCACTTGTCAAGAATTCAACTCTGTCAGTATCCTCTTCAGCGACATTGTCAGCTTCACTCCGATGTGTACCCGTCTCGGACCGATGCAAGTGGTGTGCGTCCTCAACTCCATGTGCACAGCGTACGACCGACTGTGTGAGAAATACAACGTCTACAAGGTAATCAAACTAGGACGGCGTGCTGTCAACATGGGTGGGGATGGACCATTATTCTGAAACAGGATAGGCGACTATTCCTGGGAAACATTCTTTCGTAGGGATACATGAATTCTCCGAGTGTCTTGGCCACAGCTTGCCTGGTGTTGACGTGCATGTTACTCCATCATCTAATGTCAGTAGTAATATAGAGCTGTAGCCTTGCGAGAGAGTAAAGATGGTGATATTTGCACGTGCAACAATTGCACAACACCACATTTTTGAAAATTGGAAGCATTGCCAAAGTGGGGACAACTCAAGCCCCATATACTGTGGTACAAATGAGACGGCTCAAAATGGGGCATTACGGCCAACTGCATCTCTGCATGTAGGCTTACTACATGGGAAAGTATGTGCGTATCTCACATGTTTAGGGGGTCCTTGGAAGAGCCTACATGTGTGTAAGTTAAAGTAGAGCAAGCTTTTGCCTAAACACACTCTTTCCTTTGGCACCACGCACACCATCTCCTTGTTGCACTTAGGAGACAAATGAGAGAAAGTCACAATCTCTTCCTTTACACGTGTACATAGTAATATGCCATTCGAGATCAGGTGAAAGGTTGAAAGGTACAAAGATCAGGTGAAAGGTTGAAAGGTTACAAAGATCAGGTGTAAGGTTACAAAGGTCTGGGCCTGCCTATGACTGTGTAAGTACACTACTACAAGTATATTGCCTTGATCTGTTGCATAAAAGGCAGTGCATGGTTGTGATTTCTGAATGTTCACAGTATGTTAAAGGTAAACATTTTATTGGTGTTTGGCTGACACGTTAACATTAGTCCTAAGACCAACAAACTTTACACTTTCTATCATAGTGTATAGATACATACTGTCAGCACCAGGAAAAGAGAAAGAGGTTCCCTGGGTCGGATTCGAACCCACATACGTAACTCTAGACCGAGTGCCCTACCACCTGAGCTATATCAGGGCTCAAAGTCTATTGTACAACACAACACAAAACAAAACAGACTTACATTACTCTGTATGGGACGCAGGAACTCAATGATTCTCAGGCTCTGCCTAGTGTTATGGGTGTGTATTCAATGTCAGTAAAATATGTAGCTATGGCTGTCAGTTATGATCACTATCCATTAATAACCTGGTGCAGGTTGAGATGATCGGAGATGCCTACATGGTGCTCGCAGGAGGACCCATCCCGTCTCGATCGGACGTCCACCACGTGGAGAGCATCACAAACTATGGTCTCGGGATCCTGGAGGCAACCAAGCACATCCTAGACCCATCCACCAACAAACATCTCAGGATCCGAGTCGGTACGGGTGCACTAGGGGTACAGTGGAACCCCTCTCTAAGGACACCCCTGAAACTAGGACACCTCTTTCAATGAGGACCTTTTCTTTGCCAAAGAACAGTTTCTGCATGCAATTTAACACCTGAAATAAGGAGCACTCACTAAACTTCTGTCCCATTTGGTGTTCAGATTAGACTCCTGTGTAAACCTCTGATTGTCGTTCTCACCTGGACGCACCACTGAAAATTGCCCTGGTGCAAAAAACACACCATACGTACATTAGCTTGTGGTATTCTCTGTGGACTGAAAATGGGTGTCTAATTGTCTGCATACCAGCAGCCTCTCCTGTGCTGTTTGTTTCATCGGCTATGTATATGTATATAGCATGTCTCAGAGTTCGGTGGATGAACTCTGTACTGGTAGGCTGGCAGAGTGCAAAGTGTCAACCTCCTGTGTACTACATACAACTCCAGTACTTCGTGTTGGTGGTTTACTGACATAGTGTACTGTTAGTACCCACTCAGGTTTCCTCCGCGATTGCTCGAGTGTGTTGGCACGTGGCAAGTAATCCGGGATCAATTCTCGCCGTATATATGTGCGCGTACACGTGTCGGTCACACACTTGGATATGATTTCAGGCACACCAGATCACGTTTTTAGACACACACACGCAATTACACAAAAGACTGTTTAGCGCACGGAATAATCCGTCTGTCGTGTACTTCTGCAGAGACAAATGTATTGCACGATTACCAGCAAAATTTGCATGCAGCAAGAGCCCTGAGGGAGTGCAAAGGGTGGATAATGGCACTGTGGGTACATTGGTGTTGCTTGCTTTGGTGTTGTTGTGTTGCATTTGACTTGCCATGAGACCTGTTGTTGACCAAGAATAGGCAGTAGTATAATAGTATCCCTCTCTATCTGTCAGGGATCCACAGTGGAGGAATAGTGGCCGGAGTAGTCGGAAACACCACTCAGAGATACGACGTCTTTGGAGATACCGTCAACATCGCAGCACGAATGGAGAGCACAGGAGAGGTGAGTAAGAGCCTCCTTCTCCTACTCCCTCACATCACCCACTCACTTGTTTCACTCCATTGCTCCGTCCCTCCCTCCCAGTGTCATTTACAATACTTTGATTGTAGTTAGAGAGCAATTGATACACTATTACTAGCTTCATGTACACACATTGTTCTATAGCACACACACACACACACAAACTCTGGTGTCATTCATTACCCCACCCACCTCCCTCACTGCAATATTGTATACATAGCGTGCCTTATTAAAATCATTCATCACATGCCGTAATTATAGCCAATGTTTTATACCGTCCATAGCCAATGAGGATCCAGGTGAGCGAGGCTACTGCGCTCCTCCTCCAGGGAAAGAGGTTCATTCTCAGTGAACGCGGACAGGTGGAAGTCAAGGCAAGCGTGACAGTTACTACTCCCCATCCCCCTCCCTCTCCCCCTCAGTTAATTGAGTCAGACCTAATGCTCTTGTAGTACTGCGCATTCCTGCGTGCACTTTCTATTTGATTTTGTTTCTGGAAGTAACATAATCCAGTGGTTTTTTTCTGTCTCGTGCCGACTCCCAAGTGTTCTATATACACCTGGTGACATCTAACTGGGGCTTTAGTATACATACATACATAGGTTGTGTGGTGATGATATAAGGGAATGTGGCAGTATAATCAAAACGGAAACATCCTCTTGGCTCCATTGTTTCTTGCCTCCTCATTTCCCAATTTAACCCCCCATATACTGACACGTTCCCTTTAACCCCAGGGAAAGGGGTTAATGAAGACGTTCTGGGTGGACGGTAAGGAACCAGACACGGGGACCACCACTGGCTCCAAGTCGAGGGCCATGTCATTGTCCAGCTGGACTCCTCGCTTCACCAGCACTCTTCAGCCAGACCTCCCTCCTGCTCCCACCTCTGCCAGTATCAGGTCTCTCAGAAGGTGGGTTATATATTATTATATACCCCTGAAATGTTAGCGTGCATAACCCATGAATGTTAGCGTGACAGTATTGGGTGAGATTGCTATAAGGAACGGAATGCCTTTGATGGTAAAACCAAGCTACTACAGTTTTTACAGTGGAGCCCCCCTGTAAACACTGCTGAAATGAGGACCGAGTCTCTAATAAGATCCCCAAGAACAGTTCTTGAATCTCTAACTATATATCTCCGTGTGTACATCTGTATATACACAGAGGTTCCCCTGCTCCGGATGAGTGGCCGCAGGCAGAACTGAGACTCGGGGACCACCACTTGCCACGCAGCCATCGCAGTCACACCGTACCAAACATCGACATCTCCAGCTTTGAACACGAATTTCAGTCCCTCCTGTGCCCCTTTGACCCCGCAAACCCCCTGGGCTCCTCCTCCAGAGCCGAGTGTCCTCTCGCTGCCTTCTCCTACCCTCAAAACTGTCACTCCCACGTTCACTCCCCCACCAGCCACCCCTCATCACCGCTCCAGACACAAGAGAGAGAGGCAAATGCCGGGAGGAATCTGGACGGGGAGCGCTATATAACCCAGGTGAGGCAGTCGCTGGCACAGGGGCTGGCCACGATCACCGAGAACGGACTCGAGGACATCAGTGTCTCCCAGCTCGAAGAGTTTGCCGCCATTGCAGAGGAGAATGCAAGAACGGCACGGCTTCTCGCTGACACGGCAGCGGAACTTGCCAAGTCGAGAAGAAAACATCCGACCCCCTCTCTGGAAGGGTCTTCAGTTGATCCACCGCCCGCACCAAATTACTTGAACTACTGTTCCATTCTCTAGCATTAACTCTTCATAACTCTCAATTTTTTAATTATCATCACATTATTATATTTTGTATACCACGGTAAAGTTTGGTCGAGTAGGATGAGTTTGAAACGACGCTCTGTCAGTAATCACACACGACGTGCATACATCAACAGCCTGCACAAAATACACAATGGGACGTCCATTTTCCTTTATCGCAGTCAGGAACGTGGAGTGTACTGTATATACGTAATTATAGAGGATGGTTTTGCTCCAGACATTTTTGTTTCGAGCTGATAATTCTTGGAAAACCCACGAAAAACACCACACCACTGCATACAATCCCAGTGAAGAATGAAATTAGGAATCGCAAATGTTTTAAAAACTGTGTCCTCCTTTCTTTGTATGATTATGTATAATATATACGAGACAAATGTATATTTCTAAGTTCAATTAGGACTTAGTTGAACATCTCCTTGCCAAAAATGTTTGTGCATTTGTTCTTGCAGTGCAGTACATACGTTTCAGAGCAGGTAGGTAGTGGAGCTTACCAGTCGACTGGATTTGGTGAGTTTTGCAACTCTCTCACCAGACTCCACCACCTGAGGCGAGGACGGTGGCTGAGGGTGGTGTGGCCAGCTGGCAGCAGAGTGAGAGGGTGGCGAGAGAGACACACGTGTGTGGGGCACACAGGCCCAGGTCTGTCCAAGTGACGGCTTCACACCTTCGCTTTTAGTCATATCTGACACTGTATTGTTAGTGTACTACACACACACACACACACACACACACACACACCCACACACACACACACACACAGAGAACACACACACATAAATTTGCCCAATTTTCTGAGTAGTAAAACTTACCACAACTGCAATGGAGTGTTCATGGGCAATGGAGCGAAGCAGGGCGGCGAGACAGGACAAGAGGGCGTGTCCCTGACCTCCGTGACCTCCGAGGAGGGGAGAGAGGAGAGGAGTGACCGAGTCAATCAGAACCAGGTGGAGGTTGGCATGGAACCAGTCAGTCTGGTTGGAAACCTGTTTTGACGTGGCCTCCAGGAGGTTCATCAGGTCAAACAGGTTGAAGAGCCTGTGTACTTTGATCCTCTCCAACATCCTCTCACTTGCCTATATAGGTGAAGGCACCAGTAAAAATGACAATTGAGAATGAAATAATATGCATACTGTGTGGTTGAGTGTTAGTTGGTTTATATGGTTTTAAGGCTAAGAAAAAGTAGGGAGAGTCAATGTGTGTGTGTACCTGTCCAGAAGGTGGGGTGTTGGTGAGGACGGAGTGGAGTCTCGTGGCGCTGAATCCTCCGGTGGAGTCCACCCACAGGACTGTGGAGTTGGAGTGGAGTACCCCAGCCACTGCCAGACTGTGACACAACTGGAGATGCACAGAGCTAGTTTCAATCTTCAATATACATGCACGCATGCGGGGAGACAAGACTGGGATAGCAAAGCATCCACCAACATACAAATTTTAATGGAGAAGGCCTGGTTCCAATAAGGTTAGTCTCTGTATCTGGTGTTTGGTTTGAGAAGTGGCTCTCACCTGTGTCTTGCCAGAGGCAGGGACTCCAGTTAGCTCAGTTAGTTCCCCTGTCATCACCCCTCCTCCCAACAGAGTGTCCAGACTATGAGATATACCAGGTCAGTCATTGGTAGGTACACGTGTAGATAGTAGAGCCTTACTTTGAACAGCCTAGCATGGGCAGAGATGGGGCAAGAGAGAGATAAAGGAGGAGGGAGTAGCAGAAAGAGAAAGGACGAGAAAATCGTGGGTCGAAGTAAGCATGTGTATTACCAGTCGGAAGAAGGGCAGTGGTGTCCCCAAGATCTCTCCATATGTCGGCTGCAGTGGTGGGTGTAGGGGCAAACTGCGCCAGGAGACACTGCCGAACGGCAATCAGCAGCTTGTACGGCAGACCACTCGTTCGCGAGAGAGGCACCAGCTCTCTACGAACGTATTCTGCCACTGGAATAAAGCTGGTGTAGTGTGCGAATGTACGAGCAGCCGCCTGAGCCCCACCCACTTCGCTTGGTCTTACCGGTTTTTACACCTTGCCTTGCCAGTGTTTCAGTGACGTCCTTCGTGAGTAGAGGACTTACTTCAGTTGAAAGCGGCGGCATTTTCCCTGAGCTTTTCTCGATCCGGCAGGATGCAGGTAGAGCAAGCGCGCCACTATACACACGTGGGTTGAGGCGGCGCGCGCAGTTTGTTATGGTGCGCTCTAAACAGGGAAAAAATAGAAGTATATACAACACGTGGGTGCATCACTCTAGCGATGTTTCACTGGAGTACGCAGAAAGACCACTGGCTGTTCAAGGGGGAGGAAGATCTGGAGAGACTGCGAGCGGCCGCCAACAGTGCATACTGCGAAAAGGCGAGCAACTGGAGTGACCTAGGAGGAGCTATTTACTACAGTGATGCTTGTTCTGCAGCATGCGAAGGCGGCGGCGGAGAAAGGCGTGCAGATGCTGAGCTCAGCCGAGGAACGGCTACTCTGCCAGTACTTTATTAAGAAACTGCTGGAGTTCTGCAACGTCTTTGAGCCTCGGGTCCCCAGGAGTGCAGTGGTGGGCATTATTATATACATATCCTCTTGGCTTTGCATTGCTTGGTGTGTGTTTTTCTCCTAGGCAACAGCTGCTGCGTACTTCAAGAGATTCTACCTCAATACCTCCGCGATGGAATACAGTCCCAGGCAAATCTTGTGAGGCAATTACACACCCCTTCCTTCCTTCTTTCTACCTCTCCTCTCTCCCTCCCCTTTCTGTCTCTACCTCTTTCAATCTCAGCTTCTGCTGTGTATACCTGGCCTTCAAGATCGATGAATACGTCGTGTCTGTGGATCAGTTTGGTAACACCATTACACCTGACCTCAGACAAGACGTCGTCCAATACGTCCTCAGCCACGAGGTATATATATAGTAATGCATGATGTAATTATATCGCTGGTATATTTGGAACAGCTGCTGCTCCTCAAACGGCTAAAGTTTCATCTGACGATTCACACGCCATTCCGACCAATGGAAGGCTTCCTCATCGATATCAAGGCACATCATCATTAGTTGGATGTTGTGTGGAACAATTCAACACCTTTTAACATCATGTGCATGGAAATACGAAGAAGCTTGTACAAAATGCACGTCTCTCTCTCTCTCCCTCTCTCTCCAGACGAGGACACCAGACATACCCAACCCAGACCAGCTGAGGCCTGCAGCAGAGGCGTTCCTCGAGAGAAGTCTTGCCTCCGACGTTCCTCTTCTCTACCCCCCTTCCCAAGTAACTAACCCACACAGCGTGCCGACGGCATGTAGCGGCGAAAATGTGTAGGCGGGTGTGTATCTTGTACAGTTGTCTTCTCTTTAGATTGCTCTCGCTGCTTTGAGGCATGGCTGCAGCCACACCAAGATCTCCATTGATGGGTCAGCTTACCTTCCCACCATCCTCTCCCTCCCGCCCTCTTTTTCTTTGTTTTTTCTCCTCTCTCCCCCTTTCCCCTTGTCTCGCAGGCCAGACCGAAATTACGGTCTTTCTCCAAGACTGTCTGGCCCACCAGACTACTTCCCTTCTTCCTGTTTGAGATATATAGGCGGTCTAACCTTCTCCCCTCTTCCCTCTATCAGCTACATTCTCTCAGTCCTGTTCAAGTCAGAGGACTCGGAGAAAGCCGACTCTATAATGGACACACTTGAGAGTGAGACATGCACTCAGTTTGTACCCCCGCTGTCTTCAACCTTAGCTCATTTCAGAGATCGAGGAAATGGTGCTGCAAACTGTTCTTCCTGATGGAGAGAGTGTGGGTATATACCGTTTTTGTTGGGTCAATAGTGTGTCCATATACTGTCTGCTACTGTAAGTCGAATTGCCTCACTTCTTGTGCTTAGAAATTTTTTTATCTACACTCTAGAATCGGGGAGACTATTGTTGTTTGTGGTATATATATCGGGTGCTATAGAAAGAGTTTGGAGTCGTCTTTTTGTGTATCCATAGGTCAGACACATAGAGAAGAAAATGATGAAATGTAGAGTGGAAGAATTGAGTCCCCCGAAAAGGTATAATTACTGTATATTGGTTAAGTGTGTGCGTGTGTCCGTATGTGTCAGTGTGTTTGCATGTTTCAACAGTCGTAAGAGGAAAAGCGAAGAGACAACAGGAGACAGTGGGGAAAAGAAGATCAAACTGGAGGCAAGCAAGAGAGCTGCATTTATGATTTAATCACTATTATCTGCTGGCCACACCCACCAGGACCCCTCAGAAGCACCACTACCAGGCATATCAAGACTAACATAGCACAGCAAAAATTATTGTTTTTTAGAAAACAGATTTTATAACGTGTAAGAAAAGTTTTAAATCTCTCAGTTTCGAAGTTGTTTGATGATCTCGCGACAGAATTGCGGGAGGTCGGTGGGTACACGAGACGTGATTAGGTTGCCGTCGACAACCACCGGAGCATCTTCATACAAACCCCTGCATACAGATTAGAGTGGCTCCACCTAATTGTGTAGGCGGGTGGACTCACCCTGCGTTGATGACATCATCCTTGATAGAGCAGAAACAGGTGGCTTTCTTACCAGCCAGCACTCGGGCTGAACAGAGGAGCCACGGGCCGTGGCAGATGGCAGCCACTGGCTTTCCTGGGTTGGAGTATATAAGTGAGGGTAGATAAGGGCAATGAATCCACAATCATGCTACTATTTGCCTGAATCGAAGGTGTTTTTGACGAGATCAACAAATCTAGCATCTCTTCTCCAGTAGTCTGGGGCCCATCCTCCAGGAATGATCAGTGCATCCAGGTCCTAGCATTATACAGACGTTTTGCTACATAAGGAGGTTTGATGATTGGTTACATCAGCTGTGGTGCTGGCAATGTCCCTGTCAGATTTGCAGGGGTAACCTTTCTTGGACGTGTACGTCTTTGCAGCCTCCGGAGCCACTGTGAACGCCTCAATGTCTTCCTCCTCGCTGAACCGCAGTAGCGGATACCACACCTGCAAGAGAGGAGAAGAAGCCTTGCAGTTGCACGCGCTGTGCCGGTTTATCGAAAGACCTCCAAATCTTCGTAGTTGAATTCCAGCAGAATTCCAACTCGCTTCTTAGGTGTTGCCATGTCTAAAGCGGCGTGTCCCTTTCTCTCTGCTGGCTGCAATCGACTCGGGTTTGAGCGCAGGCCGCAGGGGAAGAAAGGGCAGCACGTGGAGTGGGCATCGAGTGAGGGGCGCGTTAATTGGAATCAGTCTCACTCACGCGCAAAACGCTCGCCGCAGAGAACGGGACGACTCGTCTCGAGTCTTCTCGTAGTGAGGCTGGGAAGCACCGGCTGTGACTGCTGCCTTAGCCGGGGTTCTTCTCGAATACCCACCGGGCCTGGCTGAGCTCTCAGCCTCGGGGACCGATCGCCGACCGCCCGCCGCAGAGACTGCGATCGACCGGGACACACCGTGGAGCCGCCTGTGCTATGGCGGAAGGAATCGTGAACGCCCCTGAAGAGTTCAGGGGGTGGCTCCTGAAGTGGACCAACTACATCAAGGGCTACCAGAAGAGATGGTTCGTTCTCTCCAACGGCCTTCTCTCTTACTACAGGTCAGGTTCACTCGCTGTGTGTACACACACGCGTTATGCAATATGGGATATGTTCCGTGGAAACAACGTGTTCTTGCTGTATATAATAGTGTTTACTGTTGGAAGCCTGTGCTTAGTTCGTTTGTAGTTTAGCTGAAGAGTGTGTGCTTCTTGCTGGTGCCTTTGCCTTACCTGCAAGACAACACACTATTACAATTGACAGTGTTCCAAGTTAGTAGTCAGGAGATGTGTGGTTGGCTTACCGAACACAGCCCTGTCTAGAGTCTGCAGCAGCTGCTGCCTCTGTTGTGTTATGTCCTCTTTCCAAGTGTGCATTCACAACCTTATATGTGTACTTATACGAGGGTTCACCACATGGCTATATAACCCCTCTCTCCTTATCCTCCTCTCTCTTTACTTGCTATGTGGGGTTATGTGGGCTCTCCATACCTCTCCTTGCCTCTTCCTTCTCCCAAACATTCACCAACCTCTTTCCTCCTTCTTTCAACCCCTTGGCTCTCTCCCCCTCCATCCCATCTCTCTCCCCCTCCGTCCCATCTCTCTCCCTCCATCCCATCTCTCTCCCTCCATCCCATCTCTCTCCCCTTTAGAACCCAAGAAGAGATGACTCATACCTGCAGGGGCACCATTAATCTAGCCGGTGCCTTCATCGACACACTAGACTCCAGCAACTTCGTAGTCACTAATGGACCGTCTCAGGTTCGTCCATTGATATTTGTATAATACTCAGTTCTACTGAGGGCTCCACACATGGTGCCCTATACTCCCACTTTGTACTGCTGTGTAGCCTGTTCAAGTCCAACACACACAAGTTGTGTGCAAGCAACAGTTTCAATACTGCATGCCACCCACACTGTGACTCATCCAAAAAAGAATAGAAATTTTGGCAGAGGAACCTACAGAATAGCATGACTGTGCCAGTTGAATAGGCAAAGAATGTCCTCTAAGATCGGGTACTGCAGCGTTACTCTTTATTTACAATTTTCAGTGGAATTTGGCAGGCATTGCCTCGAAGTTAATGATGTTTTCTCCCACAGAGATTACAGTATAACCCTTCTAATCCAGGCACCAACGCAAGTGTCCATAATATTAGTGAGGTGTCCTTGTTTCAGAGGGTTGTATTGCATGCAGAACTGTTCTTGGGGGAGAGAAAAGAAAAGGTGTCCGTTTGATTGGTTGATTGATTGGTTGATTGATTGATTGATTGATTGTGTATGCAGGTGTACCATCTGCGGGCACTGAACGAGGTGGAGAGACAGAGATGGGTGACAGCTCTAGAGCTAGCCAAGGCCAAGGCTGTCAAGACCCTTGACTTCGGTATTAGCCATGGTTTATATATAATATGTATGTACACTATACACCATTGAAATAAAAGTGAAACTTAGCTATAGAGATCTTTTGAAAGCAGGCACCATTCATGGTCATTTGACAAAACATACCTGGTAGGTCTATATACACCTGCTGTGCTATTAAAAGTTGCAGTATAAATTATGTGTCTCTCTTCTTTCTCTCTCTTCCGACCTGGCAGAGGATGAGAGTGGGGGAGAGGATGAGAGAGGAGGGAGTGGCTGTCTGGGAGACACATTTCTCGTGGGACTGAAGGCCAAGTTGAAGGAGCTCACCTCGGCCCACGACGTCGTCAACAAGAACAGGTGCTCAGTGTGTGTCTTTGTGGTTAAAAATAGCTTCATTTTCCTCACTAGTACATAGCAGTCCAGTTTCACGTCGTAATTATGCAATGCAATGGTCATATCACCCCCACAATACAAATATTCCTGCCCACAAAAATTTTGCCAGCGTTTAACAAACTCTAAAAAAATTTCCCTTCGAAAGTATCACACTTATATACAATATCTCTGCGCACTAATCAGTCTCCAGTTGCTAAAGATAATCTCCGAGTTGGAAGAGGGAGGAGTTGGAGTGGGGACGGGGGAAGGAGGAGGGGGAGGGAAGGCCCCAAGCTCCCCAAGAGGAAAAGAGAAACTGGGTCACTTCAAAGCAGCTGCCACTGCCCTGGTCAAGGTCAGAGCCGGTAAAGAAAGATTGCGATGTGCTAGTCATGACACCGAAAGAGTGTCCCGAATTCACTGAAGCATTCTTTAGGACTTTGAAGGGGCGTCCTGGATTCTATCAGGGCAGCAAACAGAGTGTATCAGGGCACAGATAATTATAGAGAATGACCTGAATTCTATTGGGACACCCGAAACTGTGTCCTGAATCTACCAGTACACCAAAAAAGAGCTTTACAACAACTGGGTGTCTTGATTATGTGGTGGGTTTCAACTGTCTTCATTATGTAGTGGGGTTCAACTGCTAAAGGTGTCTCTATTGTGTATATATATAGTGTGTTTTGCCTCCCCTCTTCCCCTCACCGCCTCCCCAGGCAGCCCAAGAGTTTGTGGTACAGGCAGAGTGCACCGAGAGGCGGTGGTCGCGGGCGCTACAGCACGAGCTCTCGGCCCGGGCCCAGCTGCAGGAGAACATGGAGAAGCTGGCCAAGGAGATGCACGGGCTGGAGGCCGAGGCTCGCAGGTCCTTCCCCAAGGAGGAGATGTGAGTGTAGTTTTCTGTAAGGGTTTCGGCATTTGTGAAACGTTAAACGGAATGTGGCAGTGTAATATGAGGGCTAAATATAGAAACGTTACTAAAACGGGAACTCAATTCCATTCTTTCACGTTTCGTCTCATAGCGGACCCCTTCCACTGCCCCGTCAAGACTCGGTAGAAGACAGAGTCATTCCCGACGGAGAAGATGTGGCCGACAACGGAACTACGGAGGACGGAGGAGATGAAGAGGAGACGTTTTTCGACGCAGTCGAAATGTCGAACGACGAGTTGACGAAACCAAAGTCGGTGTCATTTCTACCGAGCGACGGTGACGTAGGGGAAGGAGAGGGGGAGAGGGGAGGAGAGGTGCAGTTGAGAGATGAGGGTGGTAGAGGAGACCAAGTTTGGCCACACGAGGAACGCGAGTGGGGTGTCGGTGAATGAAGCACAGCAGCTGCTGTCTTCTCCGGAACCAGACCAGCTGCCTTCCTTTTCAGAGAGGACCATGTCGGTTAGTCCTTCACTTCTATCACAGAGCGTTTGTTGCTAATACAATGTGGGGCATTATGGAGTGCTGGTTTCTGGTTCATAGCATTTTCCCCCTGTCGTGTTGCATATTCTATACATAGAGCCCTGGTGGCTGAGGTGCCCTCATTCATTGTGTGCTCCCCTCCCTCCCCTCCCCTCCCTCCCAGCTGCCTCACGGGCCGGTGCCGAGTTTCTTTGAGAAGTGGGAGCCGACGTTGCCGAGGCGACGGAGCACCATTCCCCCCAAACCTCCCACAGACTCAACCTGTGGACTATCATGAAGAACTGCATTGGGAGAGACCTCTCCAAGATACCCATGCCTGTGGGTTCACTGCAGTACTAGCTTTAGTATTAGTGCATGACATTATATAGTACGCATCAAAAAACTTCCCATGAATGGCCTGTTTTACATAGGTGGATGAAATTATAGTGTTTTTTGTGCTAAGACGCTTCTAAACATACAACTTCAATTAGTGGTAGTAAGAAAAACGACACGGTAGAAGTCAAGGAAAAATTTTCAATTTATCTCTCTCCTCAAGGTTAATTTCAACGAGCCCACGTCCATCCTGCAACGGATGGTGGAGGACATGTTGTACGTTGATATGCTAGAGAAGGCGGCCAGCTGCGACTCCTCGCTAGAGGAGCTGGCGTATCTCGCCATCTACTCCTGCTCCGTGTACGGGACGACCGCCGTGTCGGCCCGGGTCGGGAAGCCCTTCAATCCCATGTTGGGAGAGACGTACGAATGTGACAGGCGGGCCGAGTGCGGCTGGAGAGTCTTCATGGAGCAGGTGTGTTGCCAGCAGGAAGAAAACATAACGTTATCCACATCTTACAATACTGAGAAAAACTGTTGTTTACTTCTTACAATTTGAGTGTTGACTAGCAAATGTAACAAGTTTTCTACCTCAAAATATTTTTGGTCTTCTGTACAGTGCATGTGCAGGAATGTATGTCTGTGGGTCAAATTTTGTTTCTTTGAGGGGAAATGTTTGCAAATTTTGATAAATTTCATAATTTTCACAGATTTATGAAATCAAGTGTTGGTTTTAGTGTCGGTGCTTGCTGGCCAACTGCCTTCGCAAAACTTTACACTATTCAAGAAAGTTAGTAATTATCTCCCTCCCCACCGTCACCAGGTCACCCACCACCCTCCCATGTTTGCCATGCACATTGAGCACAAGGACTTTACCATGTGGGAGGAGTACACCGTCGCGTCCAAGTTCAGGGGCAAATACCTCGTCTGCTACCCTATCGGGAACACCCACATTGTCTTCCATAAGAGCGGGAACCACTACACCTGGAACAAGGTCGTCACCACCATTCACAATATCATCATCGGGAAACTATGGATCGATCAGGTATCACTACTTTTTCTCGCTGATTTTTTGCAACTATATATAGGTTAGACGCGGAAGCGAGGTGTCTACGCTACATTGCAACCCGAGGGGCTGTGGAATGTTGGCGTCCCGAGCGCAGCGAGGGCGCTACCCACATGCCCCGAGGGTTGCAATGTAGCGTAGACAACCGAGCTTCCGCGTCTAACCGGTTTAGACCGGAGTATCTGATTGGTGTTTGCGCGTTCAAATGGGTAGCAACAAGCTAGCAACGCTGCGCTCATTCCTCATTCCTTACCTTCGGATGGAACAAGACGCTTTCGTGTGAGACTCCGAGGAGACAGCCCCCGCCCCCCGTCAAAAATCGTTTACGTCATCATAAAACGCCCTCATTGGTGGTGCGCGTTTGAAAGGGTTTAGCAACGCACGGCAACGGCCCAATGTGTTTGTGTATCGCCAGAGCTAAAGAAGCCGACGCTTTTTTCGTGGAATATTGACGTGATTTCTGACTTTCGCGAGCTCCGGAGACTGTCCACAGACTTCTTGCAGGTGCACTACGCATTTTAAAAGAGCTACTTTGCCAGTCGCGCCTTCTACGCTTACATATACCGAACGCGGAATCGGCCGGTTTGCGCAGATAACGACTTTTGAGAATAGCCATTTTGTACGGAGAGTTTGCTGTAGACCACCTGCAAACACCATTAGACACCTGAAACGAGGTGTCTATGAAAAATAACCCCCCCGCAATTCTGTAATCTGATTGGTCAATTGCGCGTGACTGCGGTCTAAAAGTACTTAAAATGTTTACATGCTCATAATAATTATAGCTCTTTATTTGACTAAATGTTAGGCAGCCCACTCATTTGTTTATTATACACATTAGAAGCCCACGGGCCCTTAGTGTAGCTTTCTGAAAATAGCACGAACAAGAAGTCCAATGATCGGACCACACATGCATATGGTTTGACTCTCCTTGGCTATTCAATACCCTCCGTCCGTGCCCGGCCCCTGGATGTCTGCAGTCAGGAGATGCCAAGATCACCAACCATACCATCCCCGGAGAAGAGGCCAACATCAAGTTCCATGCCTACAGCTACTTCTCAAGAGAGAGACAGAGAAGAGTAAGAGACTGGGAGAATTTGACTCCACGTGGTGTGTGTGTGCGTGCGTGTGTGTGCGTCGTGGGTTCAAATCCCAGAGCTGTCCTGGGTGTATATAGTTGATTTGTTTGTTGTGCCTTTGCCTTTCTACCTCGTAGTTTTCACATGCATATGGGTGTTGTAATGCATATTATACCGATGCGTGTTCATTTGCAGTGCGCCTATGGTTTTGCACATTAGTGGTCGCATCTTATTTGCTGTAGTATAGTATAGCATTATATAGTGTACATGTAGGCTAGAGCCTCATAATGTGTGTGTCTCCCGCGTCAGCTCACAGGCAGTGTAACAGACGAATCAGGAAAGACACACTATGTTCTGAAGGGGCACTGGGACGAGGCGATAAGACTGGCCAAAGTTCTGGACGGAGAAGAAAAGACTGCTACTCTTTCGGAGTTTGAGCTGGCCTGGACCAACGTACCTCCTAAGTGAGTTGGGAGGGAGGCTAACGTACCTCCTAAGTGAGTTGGGAGGGAGGTGGGAGAAAAGCAACTAGAACGAATACCATGCATTTTTTGCGAGCGAGCACGAGCAGTTGCATGTAGTCGTGGGTATTTAGAATCACGTAAAAATTGCAATGAGAAAGGACGGAGGTGTATATAGTAAAGTGTGCTTCGAGAGGTTCTCTCAACTGATCGAAATGTCTGCTAAATTGTTTCAGACCAGGCCACGAGGCAGTATACGGCTTCTCGGAGTTCACGTCTTCACTCAACGAACCAGAGGAGGGCGTGGCACCCACGGACTCCAGACTCCGCCCAGATCAGCGGCTCATGGAGCAGGGGAATTTTGACGAGGCAAACAAATTCAAGGTATGTAAACCACAACTCACGATGAAAATAGACACTTGAACTAAATTTGAAAAACATTTCTCAGAAACTATATATATAGTAGCAGCAGTATATACCTATCCAATTCTCCACTCTGCTTTCTCCCCTCTCCCCTCTCTTTCTCTTGCACAACCACACGTGGTATATATACATGTAGCAAAAACTGGAAGAGAAGCAACGAAGCAAGCGCCGCAAGAGGGAAGCCCTGGCCGCCAAGGCAGCAGAGGCAGCTGCAGCGGGAGACTCTGAGGAGGCCGCGATGCTCGAGAAAGAAGCGACCCACGTACCGCTGTGGTTCCAGAAGGAATACGACCCACTGACCAACACGATGATGCACGTGTACAAGGGCGGGTACTGGGAGGGGAAAGTTAGAGGAGATTGGGGGGCGGAGTTTCCAGACATATTCTAGAACACTTTATTTTCTCACTCTTAGAAAGAGTCCTCAGCTGCAGAACGGCAAATTCTGCAGACACTGTTTATCATTTGAGTCACTTTGTTTTTGCAGAGATTTTCATGAGATTTATTGCACCAACTTTGCTTATTCACACGAACTTTGTGGGGGGGGGGGGAATATGCGAATTGCATGCTTGTGCCTCAACTCAAGACTTGGCAGACCACTCGTGAACAATTTTAACCAGCGAGATTTTTCCTTGGGAAAGTTTATCACTACCTCCTTAAAGTGTCCTAAAGCTCTTATATACACACTTGTTAATGACGTGAGTAATCTTCCGGTGTGCCTCTTCCATGACATCCTGACGAGGTTGGTTGGGTGGGTTTTCTTTTTGGCAAAGTAAGTGCATGCATGCTGCGGTCACGGGCTAGCTAGACTAGTAAGGTAGCATTTAGGCATCGCAAGACTAGAAATCCACCCTCCATTGTATCTTACCACGGTTAGCAAAGAGTGACCATAAATATAATATTTGCAACACAACATACAGATGTATCAGAGGAGAGCAAGTAGAATGGGGAGTGAAAGAAGAGGAGAGAGGGGAGAGGTAAAATGGAGGTTTTCACTCCAGGAAGTAGATGAGAATTTTCTTGGTCTTGGCCCATATTTTCCGTTTGGTTGGTGTTTTGGAAGGAGCAGATGTCTCGACGTGTCTAAAGGCCGTGTCTTGTTCCTGGATCCATTGCTGAAGGGAAGGGGAGGAGATCTTACATAGTGAGAAGGCGGGTGTTTATTTGCCATACCTGGATATCAGCCCTGTACTTTAGCAGATGAAGGTCGTCCTTTGTTCTGAGTCTCCTCCCACTACACTGCATCCCCTCCTACAATACATTACATCATCATTACATCGTCAATTTCCCGGAAGAAGCAGTGTGCCTGACCGACCTTTGGTAGGTCGATTCTCCTGAATTTCTTTACCGCTTGATCGAAACTGAACGATTCTTTGTTTCGCGTTCTACGTTCGTCGGTGTATGTGATGAGATAGTTCAATTTCTTGATATCTTGGTGGTGCAGCGTTATCCTCACTTCCTTCTTACGGTGTTCGTCTGAGTAAAAATGAAGAAAATTTGTGATCGTTTCATGTGCATACACCTTTGTGTTATCTTGCGCCCGGAATAATCTAATAATCGATTTATCACATTTCTACTAACAGAGTTCGTATATACACTACAGGCAAAAAGAGAAGAGTGCTCAAAACTGCTTGGCAACAATAATACGAAATATAGTCACGCAAGATAATGCGTACGTCATATATACTCTTGGAAGACACTTTACTACACATACACTTGCGACTCGCTGCCTGTATATACCTTCAACACAGTCGGTGTCGTAAACAATCTGTAGGTTTCTTCCGAGGAGTTGTTTCTCTCTCTCCTTGCGGTGGTTGGCCTCCTCCAGTTGCAGGACAAATGCCTCCACTATGAACGATATCACCACTTGCAGGACCACCTGTGTCACACACACACACCAACACAGAGAGCACATCAACAGTGAAACCTCTGAACGAGGGTCACTTTGGGAAATCTTTATCAAGAGCAGTGGCGGATCCAGGGGGTTCGAACCCCCCCTTTTTGTCGTTGCGTGCGCCGCGCATGCCTCGGCCCAGGCACGAGGGCAGTCGAAAACGTTCTGGACAGCGGAACCCCCCTTTCAAAATCCTACGTAGATCTGCCGCTGGAGACGCCTATCAAGTATAAGTATATACACCATACACAATTTGTTTTCTAAATGCGGACAGCTGTGTATTGTAGAAAGAGTGCTCAACTTGACAGCAAATAACAGCATTTCAGAAGTAAGCATCCATTAGCTAATTGTGGGATTGTGCATGCTGTTGCAATGCGTAAAAGCACTCCAATAGACTACTGAGGCAGGTGCTCCCTTATGCTCCTGGTGGCTCACCAGTGTGACGATGTAGAAAGAGAAGAAGTAGATTCTGGCAGTCCAGTGGGGCGAGACTTCTGATGCAAACCCCTCCTGGAGGAACGGGGAGGGAAGGAGGGAGGGAGGAAGGAAGAGAAGGTGTAGTAAGGGGAACGAGGGAAGAGAAGGGAGAAAGCGAAGAAGAGATATAGAGGAGGTGAAAAGGAGAGAAGTTTAAAAGAGTGTGGAGAGGCATCTGGTGAATAATTGATGGCAAGCAGACTCAGTGTGGAAGGATATGCACGGGAGCAAGACTAGCACTCCTATTGATGAGAGGAGGCATAGTCAACCCACATGTTATATTGCAACTGTCATACACCCAACAGAGAGATTATAATTCGCGTCGACTGCCAACAGTTGTATGATTAAGAAAGAGGCAATTGTAGGATGGAAACATGAAAGTAAGAACCGAAAATTGAGTCAGGATGTACCAACAACACAAAAGCAAAAACCCATTGGAGGTTGAGACTAGGCCTAATCAACAAACTCTGCCAACACACTATTATTGGAGGCAAACGCGGGATCACTTGATGTTCACTTTAATTCCCATTGCCACACGTACGTATTTCACTTTTGGAGCAACTGGGCCTATTAGATATTGCCTGCTTCCGCATGATGACATCTCAGTGTATCGTTTTACCCATTATACGTTAATATTCAATAAAATATGCACGTCGATTGCGGGATTGGTTCAATTTTACATAACGCAATTAACCGGTATAGCGTAATTTATCTAAAATCTAAGTCACCGATTTTGATAAATTTGTGATAAAGAACACCCCTCACTACCGTTTATCTTGTCCTTGATTCCTAGGACAGAATATTGAATTTTGTCAAGTATAAAACCATTGTCTACACGTGTAGACATTTAGCTGAGGGGGAGCAGGCGGGGTTAAGAATGTTCGGTTTGATCCAGAAAGACTGTGTTGTCTTCATAAGGGGATTAAGCGCTAAGAGCGGCTGCATGGTTAATAACAGTAGGTACTGTCCAACCGCGAGCTGATTTAGAGGAAGCCAGCATGCAATTTCTACACGTGGACTGTCCAAAAAGTGACCGAGTAGGTATGAGGGGCGACGAGGATGTTTCTAAGTCAATCACGTAAACCATCCGGCAGGCTCGAGTGTGGAAGGAGTGAGAGGAGAGAGAGGGGAAAGTGAATACGTATAAATCACGTAGACCGGCAACATCAGCGCGTGGCGGGTAGTGAGAAGGAGAGAGGACGAGGGAGAAAGGTTAAATTCACAGGCAGAGCACAATACCTTGAGCGGATAGTGCTGGAGAGGGTAGGATAGGAGAGAGAGGAGGGAAGTAGATATCTAGGAGACTACAGGCACCAATGATGCGGCATGTGCGGAGTGAGAAGGTGGATGGAGGGAGAGGAGTTAATTCAGCGCAACCTAATGGAAGTAATAGCAGGCAACCATGCTGGCGGTGCGGAGGTGGGTAGAGAGGAGAAGTAATGAGTCGGAGGAGGGACAAAAGTTCCTCCGAAAAAGACGTGAGAGCCTGCTAAATTTCAGGCGGCCAAAAACCCCATAGTTGGTGCGTCGGAAGGTTGATGAGAGGAGAGGAGGGGAAAGAGGTGAAATGACGTAAAGTCACAACCATGTGCGGAAACATCGTGAGTGCGGTAAGTGGAGAGAGGAGAGAAGGGGAGGGAAGTAATCAAGGCAACTCAAATCAGTGTGCGGGGAGCAACCAATGGGCCAGGGTAGTGAGAGGGAGATAGGGAGGGAGAAGGGGTAATACAGGTAGACTCAAGGCAACCCAATTGTGTGCGGAGTGAAGGTAGGAGAAGAGAGAGAGGGAAGGAAAGATAAGTAACATCACAGGGCACCACACCATGTTCGTGGCGGAGTGGGGGAGAGGAGAGGAGGAAGAGGAGGTAAAGATTCAATGGCCAGGACACCAAACTTCAATGTGTCGAGTGGTGTACGTAATGTGTGAGAGTGATGCGCTGAACATTACGTAAATTCAGTACCATTTAAACTAACGTTTAACACTCGATCTCAGCTTTGTGACCGATTCTCTCGCTTAGACTCTTATTAGTATAATTGAATTTATAACACTTAGGGCCTACCATCCCACACAGGACATGGCCACATATGACTGTAGAGCTATTAGATATTGATACAGGCCTACCAGATCAATGCCCCACGGAGCGACTGGGAGGAGAAAGTAGTCAAATGTGTATGAAATGATTTGATCTCTCAGAAGCTAGGCGGATAGATCAGTGGTTCTCGTTAGTGGAACCACTAATTAGATGTGATGGCATTGTGATTTATGGTTACAAACTAATAGAAATCTCATAATAAGTTCGAGGGATTCTAGATGCGTATATAAATTATTTAAGTTTGGGATGGTCATTGATGTAAAATATCTGTGTAATATGGTATCAAGCGAGATGCATTTTGGCGTTGTGTATGAGTGTAAATGGTATAGTTTGTATAATGTCCAATCTTAGTGCGATTGTTGCCATATCAGGCGATGTGCAATTTCGAGTGGTTTGGTAATTGTTGCAATTCAGTTTGTGAATTGCAATGCGATCCCCCACCTGATGATTTTGGGCGTGGGTAGTGGTCATGTTGAGAATTTGAACAAACCCTAGTTGAGAGATGCTATGCGTCATGCAATAGCTCCTCGATTGGAGTGATGCCGTTGGTTGTCGTGTGATGTGTACAACAACATCGGATCAAGTTCACTGGAGTGGTATCGGCGTGAGATGGGATCTCGGGGTGATCGATGAGAAAAAAGGTGTAGGAGCTGTAGCGGAGGCGTACGAGAATAGGAATACGCATGGAGAGGGAGGACGAGAAAAAGAGGAGACGGGAGGAAGAGAGGAGAAGATCGTGCATCTGCTTG